ACCTTCCCTTTTACCTAATATCTTCCAAAACCTTCCATACACACAAACAAACAAACAAACAAACACCCGAATACATAAACACGCGATCACACAAAGAAGTAAACACGAACATATAAGCAAACAAATACTCACACACAAACACACAAGAGCTCAGTATATCTCAGTGTTTTTATTTCTTTGTTTTCTTTGTCTCTTTGTTACCAGCCTTCAAGACCTCTGTGACGACGGTGGGGGGGAGTTCGTGACGTCAGCGGCGTATTGCTTGTGTTTTGGAGAGAGAGAGAGAGAGAGAGAACATGAACACCATGTAAAGATTGATAAAGATTAATTGAGATAGATAAATATATCTATTTATCTACCTCTCGATAGATAGATAAGTGACATTCATACATACATATATACATTTAGAGGGCAGATAATAGCCAAGTTGTGTGTGGGCTGGAGGGGGGGAGGGAGATGTGAGAGGAGAGGGAAAGGTGGGGAGATGGGAAATTGAAGGAAGGAGAGGCAGATTGGGGGTAGGATGGGGGTTGTTCATTGAATATCGATGTCTTAAGTATCTCTTTAGTCATATTCGGCTTATAAAAGTGTTTTTTTTATTATCAGGTCTGACAAAAGTTAACCATGTCGTAATGTTGACTAAAGTGAATCTCTATTGTAGATGCGATTTTGTTTATGTTGCAGTTTATTATTATTATTATTATTATTATTATTATTAGTAGTAGTAGTAGTAGTAGTAGTAGTAGTAGTAGTAGCAGTAGTAGTAGTAGTAACAATATTATTAGTAGTAGTATTATTGTTGTTGTTCTTACAGGGTAACTATTTCATTGGCACCCGCGCGCCTGCCAGCCACCTGCCTCACAAGGGAACACACACACCTCACCCTGATATTAAAACTCGCGGATAATTACCGTCCTTATAACTCCGTGAGGCTGACAAGCGGCCCACGTATTCCCTGCCACCACTAGTTTCCCCTTACCACCCCTCCCCCTCGATGACGTCAGCGCCGCCCACAGGTGGTGGCTGGGACAGTGTTGCCAACTGCTCGCCCTGACACTACCCCCCCGTCCCTCCTCTCCTCAACCCCCCCCCTCTCTCCTCTCCTCAACCCCCCACCTCTCCTCTCAACCCCCCAACAGTTCACCAATTCCCCAAAAATTCAGATTACAGTACAATTGAGAGCGCTATAGAGAGGTTATGCCAGTCAGAAAAATGGCTTTTTATAAGCTATAGTACTCTAGCAAATTCAGTTTCCCTGCTGCGTAACTATAGTACTTGTTGGGGGAAATATGGTGGCCCCGGGGAGGAGAGGGGAAAAGGATGGGGGGGGGGTCGCAGGAGAGGAGGGGGTGGTGGAGGGTGAGTCTACTACACGTCTCACACTAGGCAGAAATTCCGTTACGCGCTAAGGCTGTTGAACTGACTCACAAGAACACAAAATTCAAATTATAATAATATATCCACCTAACATTATTCCCTTTTATTATTTTACCCAATTAAATCTTAAAATTTCACGCGACTTATTTTTACAAGAAAGATTTCACCACAATAGCTAGAGAATCGATGATAAATTTCGGCTGTTCCCTTGATTACGCTGCCAAGTTGAGTACAGTGAATTAGTCCATTAAGTGAGGTCTGGATCTGAATGACTTGGGTACAATGCCAAGCTCCTTTGGTACAGTGAATACGGTATCTTGAAGTTCCTCTTGGGTACGATGGCTTAAACCCCTGAGTACGATGTTTTAATTCCTTGAGTATGACGAATAAGCCAAGATGGTAAGATAATCTTTTCTCGTTGAGGATGATTTCTTATCCTTTGAAAAGAATTAACTATTCATTTAATAACGATAACATTGTACTCAAATGATTAAATCATCGTGCTCTCAAGGGCTTTAAATCATTAATATCAGTTACTTGTAAAATATAAATTCACTTCCTCTCTTCCTTCCTCCCCACCTACTTTAATTTCAGTCACACGAGCTAAATCTAAACTTTACGTGACTTATTTTAGCTATGAACTAACAAAATATTACATTGTCTAGAATGTTGATAATTGAGCTTTTGTCGCTATTAAGAATGTGGATTTAATTTTGTTTCCGAGATAGTTCTAGTGATGGATGATGATGTATCGAGTTTATGGTATTTTTAGATCTTTGTTGCATTTATAAACTTTATAGACTTAGATAATACGTTTTTATTTTTTTGGTAATATGAATAAGAAATAAATTTACCAAGGGTATTGTTTTTTAATATATTTTTTTATTTAAATTGTAATCCATGTAGGTAAATGTTGGTTTAGTTTAGTACACAGACGGCGAGTTTAAGTTCCCAGTTAGGCAAGGTCCAGGACACACATCCTACCACTGTTATATGCCGGCTGGGGTTGGCTTTAACAGGTTACTTATGTTCATTTTAAATTGAAATAGATGCATTAATCAGAATATTTAACTGCTTTTTTGATAATTCAAGCCAGTGCTGATATAGTAAAGGTACAGAGACGAAGTTAGGCTAAGTTACCAGTGTAGGAAAGGCTGGGGTTGGTTTGTGGGGGGAGGGGGGAGACGTGGGGATGGCAAGACTTGATCGATCCTGTCATTAAAATTTTGGCAGATTGTGAGTTTTGTGGAGGTTTTCTGGGGGTGGAGGGAGACCGTGTGGGAGTTGAGACTCCATTGTTTCCATGTGTTGTGTACGTAATGGTGTGTGTTCGTGCCTGTTGTGTACGGTAATGGGTGGTAGCAATCCCTTAGATTCGTTTGTGAAAGTTTGTGTGTGTGTGTAGCGCCGTGTACGTCTAGGATCGTGTACGTGTAGGGTCATGTACGTGACTGAGCTTCGATTCTTTAAATCCTGTGACGTCAAACTGCTGGTCCAGATGTTTCACTTGTTTTCGTGCCGTTTTATTTAACCTCAAGTACTGATAATGGTGTGAGTTTGCGTGTGTGATGGTAGTTACTGTATATGTGCGTGGTGGTAGTGGTGGTAGAGTATTTGTGCGTGGTAGTAATGGTGGTAGAGTATATGTGCGTGGTAGTAGTGGTGGTAGAGTATGTGTGCGTGGCAGTAGTGGTGGTAGAGTATGTGTGCGTGGTAGTAGTGGTGGTACAGTATATGTGCGTGGTAGAGTGGTGGTAGAGTAATGTGCGTGGTAGTAATTGGTGGTAGGTATATGTGCGTGGTAGTAGTGGTGGTAGGTATGTGTGTGGTAGTAGTGGTGGTAGAGTATGTGTGCGTGGTAGTAGTGGTGGTACAGTATATGTGCGTGGTAGTAGTGGTGGTAGAGTATGTGTGCGTGGTAGTAGTGGTGGTACAGTATATGTGCGTGGTAGTAGTGGTGGTAGAGTATGTGTACGTGGCAGTAGTGGTGGTACAGTATGTGTACGTGGTAGTAGTGGTGGTAGAGTATGTGTACGTGGCAGTAGTGGTGTTAGAGTATGTGTGCGTGGTAGTAATGGTGGTAGAGTATGTGTGCGTGGTAGTAGTGGTGGTAGAGTATGTGTACGTGGCAGTAGTGGTGGTAGAGTGTGGTATAGTGAGATGTGTTTGTTGATAATTTAAACTATGGCTGCAGTCACGCGCGGCCATCTACAGTAAGAGCGTGTTAGACCCTCACTCAAAACGCCAAACAACTTTTTAATGGCGAGACATCTAGCTAATTTTATTTTAACCGTTAGCTCTATTAAGTCTTACTATCTATTATCTAACTAAATCTGAATGTATAGTTTACCTTTATTTCACTTGTGTTTACTTATTATTTACTATAATTCCCTCTTCTTCAGTCTGATTCTTTGTCTTATGTTAATATAGATTTTTTTTTACATATTAACGCTATAAATATTGTTAAAACTGGAAATTGAGAGGCGTGACGTCACTGATATATTAGCCTCGCTTTAACTAGGATTAATGTAATGTTACTTCTTGCAAACTTAGATTAATGTGATGTTCATCTTTGGGAATAGCCCCGAGAATGCATAATTTATACTAAAACTTTATTTTTGACACCTTTTAAAAGCAATAGTTAGGGGACATTAATTTAGGTATAATATAATCAATAAAACCTTCAAAATGGGGACAAAATAATGACTAAAATTAAGATAAAAACATACATCCAAATTGGTATCTAAATTACAGAGACAAAGTAAACTGGCGTATTTTTCATGAGGTATAAATATTTACTATCGACTGAATGCTATAATTTACTCACGTTCAAGGACAAAGTACTTGCGAAATAGAAAGTCCGGCATATTTTGTGTAATTTTTCGGGTCATTGGAAAATCCCCTCTCCCAGCATATATCACCAGAAGATTAACCATCCAAACGTTACCTAGGAGGAGGAGGAGGGGGGGGGGGGCGAAAATTACTGACAGATGTAGTCACTCACTAAAAACGTGTCTGTTGGTGTTGAAAAATAGTAAAAACTTAGAGGTTGGTGACCATTGTGCTTGTGGATGACTCATTTTATGGCTATTTACTACGCTTGCATGAGTTAACCATGATTACCTGCTGGTATGGAGACCCGGTTCCCATTAGGCAAATCTGAAGCAAGTTTTACAGTTGGATGCCCTTCTTATCTGCAACCCATTTTTACAGAGTGGGAACTGGGCATTATATATAGGACTACCAAGTACCCTCTTAGCGGGCAAGACATGGTCGCAACTCCTTGAACTAATCAAAGATTACCCACATACCTGTTCAACCATACATAATGTTAATTATAATTAACTATCGTGCATAATGGTATGTATTTGTGAACAGGTAGGTAGATAATCTTTGTAACTGAAAAATACAATGGGTGAAATAATGGTTGTAGTGTTGGGCAACATGATGGTGTCCATGAGGTGACCCAACCCTCAGGAGGTATCATATAACTTAATGGCTAAATTGTTTTTACTTCAATATTTCAGTATAAAAAGTCTACTTATTGTGAACAATTTGAAAGATGAGATTCACTTGACATGTAATTGAATATATTATGTCTAAACTAGGTGTTTTTTCTACAGATTGTGAGCAGCTAGTAAGAAAAATGCTTGTGTTAGACCCTACGAGACGGTACTCTGTAGAACAAATTAAGAGACATCGGTGGATGCAGGCAGAGGAACCACCCCGCTTGTCTTTCGATTCTCCCACCATCAGGGCCGAGAAGACCACTGATCCTAATGAACAGGTTCTCAGAGTCATGCAGGAGCTGGGTATAGACATCAACAGGACCAGAGAGGTGTGGTTCTTCATTGTGTTGATGGCCAAAGATTTTCTAAAACAGTTAAATCAGTGCAGTATTAGCTTAAAGGTCGTGAATTTCTCTTTTGAAAATACATTTGGTGGCATTCCCTATACAGTGGGGTATGCTATAACGAACGGATCCTACTACTGAATATTCCTATAACGAACGGTTTTACCTATAAAATTGAGAATGCTATAACGAACGAAACTCCTACAACGAACATTTAAATTTTTTTTTTTTACTAATTTATTGTTTTTTATTACAAGTATTAATGATATTCTTTATTTCAGGGGTTTAGATGCATATTTATGCACTTTTTTACAATTTTTACAATTTTATATTATATTTTTCAGTGTTAAGTGGTTGTATTTGGGGGCCTGGAACGGATTAATCCTATAACGAACGAATGCTATAACGAACAAGGTTCTAGAACCAATTAGATTCGTTATAGCATACCCACTGTACCGAGTTGTTTGTACAATACTAAGAATGTGTTAGAGTACATGGAGTTTTTCAGTGTACAGTATTGTACTGTATGTGTAATATTCCCTCAAGATTACTTAAAAAAGATATTATTTTTGCTTTTGGAAGCCTTTTCACTCAATGATGTAAGGAAGGAATGAACATGAAGCAACAACTCTCCTTTCATTCACTCATTCTTCCTTTCAAATTTATTCATTGCACAGCTTACGAATTCTTATGAACTCATGTGTACATCACAAACAGTACTAAATATATAATAATCAGAACACTGTACAGGTACCAGGTACTGTGCCTTTATTGTATGGATTTTTGTAAATTGGGTGAGCTATCCAAGAAAATATGAAATTCAGATGTCTCGTTATAAATTTTTAATTTTTGGGGTGTTTTATATACTACTCTTGATGCATTAGAAGATGAATACCTAAATAGAACACATGTTACAGCAATTAATAACTTACTGTATAAAGAATGAATGACAGTGAATGAAAAACAGTGTGTTTTACTCTTGGTTCCAGCTGCTGTAAACTAATGGTGGGAAAAGTTTTACTAGATTTAGAGAAAGGTTTAGTGTACACATCTAATGTACATACTGTACTGTACTGTATATTTATTACAGGGTAATTTAATAGTAATACAATATAATATAATGTTAAGTTCTCTGTACAGTAATTAATAAAACCATAACTTTAATACACAGTACAGTACAGGATTGTATTTGAATAAACAAAACTTCAAAAATTTTCATGAAACAAAATCATAAACAGTATTCTGTACAGAGGAACTGAGAATTCTTTTTGTAAACAACTTATTTACAAATTATTCAGCACAGTAGTAATAAGTACTGTACTGTATTATCTCATTCCAGTCACTGCTAAGTGAAGCCTACGATAACTACACGGCCATCTACCTGCTGCTGCTGGAGCGCTTTAAACAGCACCGGTCATCCCTACACAGTGATAAACATGCAGGTCTGGAACAGCAGCGTCGCAGACCTTCCAGTGTGGCAGAGGCAGCTATGAGAAAGATGTGTGCAATGGTACCCACAGGCAAGGCTTCCCCAACATCTGCCAACATACATGCCACACAGCTCACGGGTTCTTCAGGGAGCACAATCGGGGGTATACCGACACCTCCACTTTCTGAAACCTCTACTATCATTAGTCCACTGATCACTCAGGAGGGCATGATAGGGAGACCGTATGGCCATACAGGAAGAATATTACCAGCGATTCCAGGAGAACAACAGAGCAATGTGCCACATAGTTATATATCAAATTATTCCAACTTGGGGCCACGTGGGAGTGTGGGAAGTGGTGTTCCTGAAACAGAAGCCATAATTACAAGCATAACGCCCCATGTCTCCCCTCCCTTCAGAGAAGTAAGCCAGGATTCTCAAACTGAATACACACCAGGTTATCAAAATGTTACAAGTGGGGGTATACCGATGGCATTAGTTGGCAAAAGTTATCGTGACAGTGAGAGTGGTGCGTCTACTTCCATTGATGAGGGGGTGGAAGCCGACATGTGTGACTCAGAGTGTGGTTCAATTGTGGGTGTTACTCGTAGTGGTCATTGTATGCTACAGAACATCAAAAGTGCCTCTCAGCAGTCTTCAGAAACCTCTCAGTGCACTGACTCACCTCTTGGCAGTGTTACAAGCACAGAGTCTACTTTTGAAAGCTTTGAGTCACAATTAGAGCCTGATTTAGCAGCTTCACTTTCCTCTTGTTCACATGCATCCTTGTCTGGACGACCATTGATGCCTGGTGGGATACAGTCAAGATCTCTTCAGCCACAAGCTCAGCTGGATCCAACTTCTGATGCTCCAGAGCGTGCACACACTCGCTCACCGGTCAACTTCCGTGAAGGTCGACGTGCCTCAGATGGATTAGTTACACAAGGTGTTATTGCATTCCGGCAAAGATTACTCGAGACAGAAAAGGCTCGTGGTTTGACCGAACTACACAGTGTGCAACAGGAACACCAAGCTCTTACATCCCTTTACCAGGCAGCAGCTGTTACAGGTAGTGAGGAGACAGCCACCAGACATCCACCTCTTCAGCATCATCAACACGCACAGTATTGTCGTCAGTGGAGACATTCTTACGCTGGCTCAGACGAGATGAGCCGAGCACCTTTAGTGAGACAAAGAGTATCATTGCCAGACACTCTTAGTTTTGCTCCACAAAAGCTTCTTCATGCCAAAGATTCCATCAAAGATACAGACTACTCAATAACCAAACCACTACAACAACAACTTTTTCAACATAGACTCCAACAAAAACGTCAGATTTTACAAAAACAGGCAGCATTCCCAAGACAATCGTACCCTGTTGGTTGTGAGCTTTCTCGGAGGCAAATGGTTCGGCAAGCATCCTATAAGCTAGCACAACAACAGCCTGTATTACCGCCGCTCCCTGCTGAACTTAGTGCTGCACATCTTCTTGCTGGGTTGAATCAGGCCGACTTGGCATGTCCAACCATTGCAGAGCATGTGGGATTTGCTGACCAGGATGAGGAAGGATGGGACAGCAATCCAGCATGGAGGAATATCTCCTCCTGGGCACCAGACTCTACAGCTGCAACGTGGCACACACTTCCCTCCACATTGGCTGCATGTCAGATCAGTGAAGCTCAGCAACAGTCTCAGCCTCCAGTCTCTAGTACAGATACCAGGACGTGGACTGGTCTTCAAGCCTGGCATGGAGGATGGCATCAGGTAAAAAAAATATAAGACCTTTCTTTAAAGTTTGTCTTGTAGATTGTGGCAGAGTATCCTGCTTCAAATATAATCTTTGCAATTTTTCTGGTATCAAACTTTTTAATACACTAACTGCTTAACACTGTCAAGAAAACGTTTGAAACAATTTTTCAAAATCTTATAAGAAAACCACATTTTTCCTTAAATCATTTTGTCACAGGAGCCATTGCCTTTAGCACATCTAACACTTCTCAATACTGTACTGTACTGTATTGGCATCCGGGCTTACAGCACTTTAGGTCATCCAGGCCAGATCAAAACTTGTCACACTTACATGCTAATTCCCTTCAACCCTCATACAGTACTACAGTATTTCCATATTCTACTTTTAACTTGTATTATCTTACATTTACACAAGTCATTTTTCAGGTAATATTTCTCTGCTATAGTTATTCAATTCTTACTCCTAAGCCACACTGACCATGTAAGGAACTTGTTTGAAGTCTTCTGTCATCAAGCTTCTGTCTACAGTTGTGGGGTCTGTTTCTAACCCAAATAATTATAGAGTAATTATGGTAGTCATTGTCAGTGGTCGGGGAGATGTACCACTAATATTGGTTGTTGTTTTCATAACTACTTTGTGGTGTAATAAGAGGATATTGTAGACTTAGGAAAGTAATTGGTTTGTCCATTACAGAATTACTTTGTCATTATTATGTTAATGCACTTGTAATATATAATCATCTAAAGTGCAGTACAATACAGTACTTATTGTATATCTTGTTGATTGTTTTAGATTAATATGAAGTGTATGTTGGCAAGATTCTGTTTCCCTTTATAGTTCTGAGAAATAAATTTTAAATGTTAATTTTGTTCAACAGGGTGGTGGTGCGGTGGGAGCAGCACCATGGCAGCCGGTGGTAGGAACGAGTATTCTACCACAAACTGTGTGTGAGAGTCCCATCCTGGAGATGCCGGAACACATGGAAACTTGAGGTCCAATATTTCCTCATCAGCTATCCAAAGCATTATACAGTAGTGTTTGTCACAGCCAGAAAGACTGAATCTGAAATAGCAAACTGAAACCCATACTGTGTAATGTTCTTTAACAGTGACTGAAGATACCTATTATAAAACTGAAAAACTTGTCTTACCATAATAAGGTTTGCAAGTACTTGCCACATCAGGCTAGACTTAAACCTTAGGTAATGAACTGAAACCTGTGTTAATAAATGGTCTCTGAAAGTGACACAAGATACCTAATCGAAGCAGGTAAACCTATCTTGCCATAATGCCATAATAAGGTTTACAAGAAATAAAAAAGTCCTAAGTATTACAGATTTCTTATAAATATGTCACAAACTGCTTCCAGCACCTCAGTAACTCAGTCTAAAACACACAAGCCATCTAGTCAGTAATGAGTTTTGCATTTCTGACTTTTCCACTTGGCTGTAAGGATATAGGGAGCGCAAGGTGTCATAGCATGTATTGTATTTAACAGTAAGGACAGTGTTTATTAACTGGTGATATTGACATGCTAATAATATCCCATTTGTGATGACTACAGAGAGTAACTATATTGTATTGGAGTCAAGGATTCCAAGACACGGAAGATTGGAGCGTGTAATATTTCCAGCCCAGAAACTGCCAGTTTATAAAGGAGATGTCTTTTGTAAGGGGCAAAGATTATGTAAATTAGCCACTGTTTTTGAGATGGTTTGCTGATGATTCCTTAAGGTATGGTAGAGACCAGGGTGTTAGGTAGAGAAGAACATGCATGACAGTGATTGCATTTCATTGCATCATCTTTAGTTAATATATTGTAGGCTTCCACCAGAAACAAGACAAGATTTCTCTGTGGAATAACAACCATTTCAAAAAATAATACCTTTCCTGTGTATGAGAAATTATTTTCACTGCCATTGACAACCTTAAGATGTATATTCAGTAAATATGATTTGAAATAGTATGGTTAGATTTGCAGGGCTCCATAACTCACTCAGTAGTGCTGTGGCTCCCAAACCATGAGAAGGTTTCAATTCTCTGATCAGGCACAGGTAGCTGGGCATTATTCTGCCCAGGTGTGCCATATCACTGCCCTGGGCTAAGCTAACCTTCCTGGCCTGGGGAGGATTGCCACACCCATAGATTATGGGAAGTGGCATGAGGGATGTTTAAGAGTCATTAGCTGGATACTTTAAAGATTAATCATACACTACTGCAATAACTTACCAAAAAACAATTGGGGAAAATATTCACAAGAGATAAGGAGTGTCAAAGTTTAGTTAACAAGTTATAATCAAAGATATCAATAATCCTAGCCTGGCAGAAATCAAAAGAAATGATGCAAGTTTAACTAAGGAAAAATCATAAAAACAACCTACAGGGTAGTATAGGTACGTATTAATTTTATTTGAGTAAAAATTGGTATTGTACTGATTCAGTGGGATAAACTTGTGCCAGAGTTATGAATACAAATTTAAGGGTTTATGAATTATTTAAGGTGAAGATGTGAATTACTGTTGCTGCATCAGTGATACAGTTCCGGAAATGTCTTCTTACGGCCCCTGTGGTAACCTGTGCCGCCAAATGGCAAAGTCGCAGTAGTAGTTTCACTATTTATGAATGAATGGGTATTGGTCATGTAACGATGGACGTGATTGGTGTACATGTATAGGTTTGCTATAGGCCGTTTGGTGACATGGGTTACCACAGGAGGTGTAGGAACACATTTCTGCATTGGTATACTAAACTGAATCAGTAACAACCTCAGTAAAGTGTGAACTGTACTGTACTGTATATAATAATTGGGCATTATATTTCTGAATCAACAGGGTCATCGTGTAAATTGTAAAAACAATAAAAAAAAAACGTAATGAAACAAAAGACAGCTATCAGATATCAGGCTTGGAGGTAAATGAACTACATGTGGCTCTAGAGGTGTGTACATAACTGTGAGGATACTATGAAATTTACCGTCTGCTCAACAGGAGTCACACAGTCTTCTCATGTGCATGAAAATATATACTGTCAGTCCATTCACAAATATTGTGATTACATACATGATACATATATACATGATACATATATACATGATACACATATACATGATACATACATTACATTACATACTGTACAATACATGATACATTAGACACATAAAAGCCAGATTGTCCTCAGGTTTGGGTTCATTATTGATATTTACTATGTTTATGGTAGTACACTTTCTGTAACTAACACGAATGTTACTAAAGTGATGAAACAAAAACAAGTGTTGATATATATTGTCAACAAGGACACTGCCGTTGGGGGTCGGGGTCATTGTGTTCTCTCCTGGGCAAAATTCCTTCTCAGGCAGTCTTTTAAGTTATGATGCTCTATAGACACTTTCTAGTCATTAATGTTTAATGCAGGAAAAATATAACCACTGAGCATGGAATAGTTTGCTGAAGCAGTCGTGCATTAGTCTAAATTTTATCGGAAGTATAGAAATTGAGATTATATGTTTTGTTCATTGTATTTATTGAAATTGCATTTCTTGAAGGGAATTTCAAAATATAACTTATGTACCAAACTCTAAATGCTTCTGCAGACTTTTCCCTAAAGTGGTTTATTCTCCCACATGGATTCCCAGAAGGTTGACACACACAGTCAACACCAACATCAGGCAAACTTTAAGAATTTGGGATGATGGTAATGTGTACAGTTTTCCCCCTAACTAAAATTTTTCCTTAACTTTTAACTTTGATGAATAGTGAGTACTCCTTGCTCATAGTTCCCTCATCTGCATATCCAAGAAAATTTATTAACATGACCCTTCCCTTAATACTTAAGCCTGGAGTTTTAATCACCCTCTGCCATTGACGGGGGTCGTCGTGTTTATAACCAAAGTTTAAAAAAAATTTGAGGCACAACGCACACTAGCCTACAGTTCTTGACGGGGAGTGTGGAGGTAAAATGAACTAAATCCAATATTATAAGTTAATTTAACTGCCACACCTCTGTGTCGAGCACTACAGTGCAGCATCTTTCGTGACTAAATTTTTTTAAATCGCTTGTAAACACAACGACTCCCGCGAATGGAAGAGGGTGATTAAAACTACAAGGCTAACCCTTTGGGTAATCTTATTGCATGTGTGACAAGATTAGACTAAATCTTATTGAATGGTTATATATACAGTATATCCATGTTACATGGAGGTAAATCATGATAGATCTGGATAAAACATAAATATATATAAGCTAACTCTTGAACATATACAGTAAGACTTGCTTACCCATAATTATATTATTAATGAAATAGAAAAGATTCATGGCAAAATTACATGTTTAGAATCCCTGTCACCAGTTAAAGGTCATTTTCAATCCCTTACTTTAGAAGTGTAAATGCTGTCTTTGATTCATGAAGAAAATTAAAGTATTGACAGTGTATGCATTTGTACAGTTGCGGAAATGTGTTTCTACACCCCTTGTGGTAACCCTTTGTCACCAAACGGCAACATCGCAGTAGTAGTATCACTGTTTATGAATGAATGGGTATTGGTCATGTAATGATGGACGTGATTGGTGGATAAGTTTGCTATAGGTCATACAGGTCGGCCATTTGGAGACACGGGTTACCATGGGAAATAGGAACACATTTCTGCAACTGTACATGTACTATAAATGAACTGATTTAGACTGAGTATTGTGAACATGAGTTAGAGTTAAGAGTGAACTCTCTCATATTGTGGAGAGTGACCATCCATGTGTCTGGCAGATCAACATGCAACACATTGTTTACATTTGAGAATCTGATTAGGTAATGTCTGATTCTTTCCATATGTGATAAAAGTTATTGGTTTGTGCAGTGCAGTTCTGTTGTACTGTACATGGAAAAATTATCAGATTTACTCTAACTTTAACCACAAATGCCAGGCATTTTTACTTCATGCTAAGTCATGGAGGCTTTAGAAAATCATATCATCCAGTGTAAAAACTTTTGTATCATATTATTAAGGCCAAAATCAGGGATAATGGATGGTGAGTATCATTTAATTTTCATATCAAAATAACTCAATACTATGATATGTCTTGATGAATTAATGACAGTACAGTCCAGTATGTTGGGAATATTGAGAAAGACTTTTCTTGAGCCCATGGTGGTGACTGTACTGTACAGTATCCTCATGGCTCAAACACACTTCATTCCCAAAAATAAATTAATTGGGTTTGATATCTTAGAAGCTCCTAGAAGTAAAAAGTAAACTGGTTGAATTTGATAATTTTGGAGTTCGTAGAGGTTAATAGATCGCTACTGTACTGTACATTACTGTATTAGCTGCCTGACCCCAAGGGATATTGTTGAAGCATTTTATTTCTTCCAGGGAATAAATTCATTGTAATGTTTCTTCAATAATTCTTTTATTGTACTATTTACCTGTGAGATACTGATGTTGGGTAGAATATAACTTTATTATTAAACTTATTTGTACTCTCCTTATATTCATCCAAATGTTTAAAAGCAATTCATATACAGTACTGTATTGTACCTAACATGTACTCGGTATTTTCTTGATAGTTTTATGTGTAATCAAAAATGAAAACTCTGTTACTCTCAGTAAGTTTACTTTCTTTTTCAGTCTTCCACCTAAAGTCTTTTCACATATACTATAAAGCTTTTCAACTTTTCTGACCAACATAGCCAGTCACTCTCACTTGTAATTAGTATGAAACATGCTATGAACCTTCCCTCGTGGTCCTCTTGATCCAAAATATTTATTCATAAATATGACTTGAGTATAATTCCAATATTGATATAGGATTTCAAATTCCAGTCCTTCATGACTCATTAGGAATAATTTTTGGATATTGCTCATCACCTTCAGTTAATGTTCTTACCGTAGTCAGTAAGATTATAACTAAAAACTTTTGTAAAAATATTAAGTACTGTACAGATATTAGCCAGGGTCTAGGTGTAGGATGATGGATGTTTTTACAATGTGTCTAAAGATGAAGTGTTGCCTGTTTTTTTAATTATTGATTTGCTGAGGGTCAGTGAAGGAGCTTTAAGTAACTTACTAACTGATAAAAGGTGCCGTACTTCAGTTAACAACACTTGTGGAGTCCCAACCCAAGAGTCATGTGTCCAGCCCCACAACTTGGCAGGTATGACAAGACATTATGATGTTAACAAAGCCAGTTTCTTTGTCATGTCAGGGTACCAGACTATAGCTAATCTTTCTAATCTAAGGTTTGAGAGGACACATGACCTAAGGCACTACAGTGTATTATTGATCACAAAATGGACTGATTCCAAGAAAGTGTTTGATGAAGAAAAATATAGAAAAGAAAATCCGATGCCACAATGTTGTTGTTTGAGACATCTAGTCAGTGGGATGCAGGTATTATTTATATTTTTTGTAGAATATAGCATTTCATGATGATCTTCCCTTAAAAGAAATTAGATAGACTATATACAGTAAACTGAGTATGAAGAACAATAATATTCTACCTTTTAAGCATTATGCAAGTTTATTACATGTTTGAAATTAACAAAGAATAATACTCGGCAGTTTCAGAGGCATCTGTGTACAGTGTGTGACTGAAGCCTAACCAGATCATATCGAAATACATAAGCACCCCTATTAGCTCAAATGTGTATATTATATGTGCAAACTAGAACCTGTATTATAAACGGGAGAACTTACAGATTCTTATTTTTCTAGAGTGTGGGATGATGCTCAAATAAGTGACACATTATTGAACTAAATTTTCTACTAAGTTCTTACATTTTTCTTTAAAGTGGCTGTACTGTATGTCGGTCTTATAAATGAAAGCTTGAATGTGATCATTATTAAGAAATAATGAATATATACTTGTGCAGGGTACTAAGGAAGTTTTTGATAAAACAGTTGACCATTTGTTTTGTTTGTAAATTATCAGTCACAAGGTACTGTACTGTACTATATTGGTTATGAATACTACAGTACAGTACAGTATAATTGGAATTTTTATGCTGAGGTGATGTTTTATTGGGGTGATTCTTAAATGAATTATGTATATGATATGTGATGATCTAGAAATGATTGGTGTAGCTTCTCCAGATCTAGGATACTGTTAAAGGTACTGAACACTGCATATGGTATATAAGTGGGTATTTATCTCCCCTAGATCTGACAAGGCACCAGCCCAGTTACTTACTTGGTCACATATAAACTTTTGAACATAGTTTTGGAATACCTCATGTCAAGGATCCTAATTTCTCTGTGATTGGAGACCACACATAAAACTGTCAAATTTGGTTTCAGGTAAACATTTACAGCCGTAGTGTATGAAAGCCTACGACACCACGCATCATTCTCCAGAAGCAATAAATAAAGCACTGCAGTAACAAATTCCTCATGTTTTTCTAATGTCAAGTGACTAGTGTTGAATACTGAACTCCATTACTTATTCACTTTCATAAGTTTTACCATTATTTACTTAAATTTATTTTGAAATATTCTATAGCCTAACCTGGAGTACAAAACTCCTCCAAGACTGTACTGTACTAAAATCAGTTAAAACCTCATACTGGACTGTTGTCTGGCAGAAACATTGGCAATAGTGTACTGTACATCTCTACTCCAGACAGAAAAGTTAGTTTCAGTTTCAAAAGTTTCTGTAGCCAGCTTATTTGTTCTAACCCAATCATATTTGTATTTTCTAGTGTTGCAACTTTTTGTGACCTTGACTTCAAAGCCACGAGACTTTCCAGGGCTTTGTTGACTCATCAGTCATTTACAATGAGGGTAACGTTCCATAAAATTGGACAGTCAAGTGAAGCAGTTTCAGATTTGTGTGACATAAGATGTCTTTCTGAGTTTATACAGTCACACATTGTTCATTCCTTAACAGGAAAGAAATGAAACACCTAACATTGTAAATCATATTTTAATGTACAATCTTACAATTATTTAATAAATAATTGAGGTTGTAAAATATAACTTCACAATGCTTGACTGTCAGTGATAAAATAAGGCCATCCTAAGTTAACTATGTATGGTCTGTGACCTACTTAAAGTATGTGATAAAATTTTAGGTTATATAAGGCTGAATTTCATTGATAATTCTTTACACTGTTTTATATTTTATTGCTACTGTATTAAGGTCATCACTGTTATCTATATATATATATATATATATATATATATATATATATATATATATATATATATATATATATATATATATATATATATATATATATATATATATATATATATATATATATATATATATATTTTGTAACTGAACTACTGTATTTTCAAAATATCCATTCCTGATAACTTGGTCATAGGTGTTGCATTACTGTGCACACCGTATTGTATTCTATGATTTTATAAAATATGGCCATTAAGAAAAGATCATTTTGAACAACTTAAAGCCTTTCGTCATATACCTGGTTCAACAATGTAAGGGCATTACAGCACCCAGTTTTGTGTACTCTTCCATTAGTGGTAATTTATTATTTATATACAGTGCTGGGTCTGCAGAACAACCAAACTGACATGAGTTTTCTTCATGAACTACAAGTTTATGCCAGTTGCTGAACTTGTGGAAAAATAACATTGTATTCTTGCCTTTTTGTGATGAATGACAGTGTCTGCTTTAAAAAAAAATTTGTTTAGAAATTGTTTACCAAGTAATGTTGACCATTACTTGTAGTGTGTGGTATGCTAAGCACTGCTTCTAATCAAATCATTTAATCTAGGATATTAAAACTCACATCAACAGATTTGTAAATCTGAATCCAGCATACCTTAATTGTTCTCCAAATTTTTACACACAATTTTTTTCATGTGTACAGTACAGCCCTCGGTGAACCTCCGTTGTGTATCAGGTTAGAAGTCGTAGTGATACAGTATACATCAACTTCTAGAAGTGCTGCTGTACTGTACAGTATACGTAACTGACCTTTTTCTCTGGCTAAGAAAACATGGTACTGTACATGTAGTTATAGACTTGACCTTGTTAATGACAGGATTTTTTTTAACCACTTGAGTTTCTTCTCAAAGCACAGTTGTCTAGTAAGATTTTGGGCATGGGCACCTGTTAAATGTGTCTCTTAAACTTCTGAAGCTCTAAAAAAGTAAAATCAGTCATGAATTACAGGGTGAGAAACAGTAGATGTCTGAACAACTTTTGCTGCCCTACTTATGTAAGATGAGCGAGCCATCAAACAAATTATTATTTTATCAGTGGTATTAAACAGTCGGTCGAGTCTGTCATATTTAAATCACAGTGGCAGTAATCAATTTGAAATTAATTTATTACCTCAGCTAGGGAAAAAGTTGCAAACTTTTTTCATAACATTTGAAGTGTTTATGTGTATTCTGGATATGGATACTCAAGTGAATTTTCCCAGCTGGAACTTAACATTGTTTCAGTGTTGAATTGATGTAGAAACAATTTTGTCTTGTCATTTCAACGTTTATTCAACACGAAATCAACAGCGTGTCTCTGCTAGGAAATGTGCTCTACTGCAAGCAATGCTTAGTGAGACTCCTCTTGAGCTGGTCTCATTACAAACACAAATGTCTTAGATGTTATCCACTTCTTATTTTTTTCCTGACAGCATATGGGTGATACTAATTTTAGAAATGCTTCCGCCAATGAATTTTCACGCTTCTTTTGTTGTGTAAGCCAGCCTCTCCGTGGCTTTATTGAATCTGTTTTGTACTGAATATTTGCCGTTATTTATTTGATATGTTCCCCATGACTCATTACCATTTTCTAGTCATTTATCTGCATTAAGTAATATGGTGATGCATTTTGTATATTAACACAGCTTCTGTTCCCTACATAATATACATTTCATATGCAATATATTATATGTAAAGATGAAGACTTGTGTTATGTATGTTTATACATAGTTGCCTAGCATAGAGCTGTGTATTTTTATGTAAACAATTGAAAACAATCTCCAAAATTGAAATAAAAATGGAGTCTTTCATGTCTTTGTTTTTCCAAAAGATGATCAATATTATCTTTTCATTCTATTGAGTTGTGAAGAGTGAAAAAATATATATTAAAATGAATATGCAAACTGAAATTAGAAACATTATAAATTAAGGAGCAAAGACTTAACCTTCCCACCCCAAGTTCACCCAGATGTGAATGAGTACAGTACCAAACTTTACGACTATGGAAGTGAAGGCAGTTGAGTGCAGTACTGTACCAGCCACACATCCTCCTCAGTATACAGTGTTATGTATGTACTGTACTTACACTGGCACTAACAGACAGTCAGGCCTATGAGTGCCACCTTAGACACCCCACAGTGCCCAACTAAAGAAGAACAAACCAACATTTTTGAAAAAATAAATAAAAATTTTCAACAAATTCATGAAATTAAAAAAAAAAACATTCTAAATAATTTTGAAGATCAAAATGTAGTGGTGTAAGAAAATATCTGATATTAGGTAGTGGGTAGTAGGCAGCTACCAAACAGGGAGGTACTACCGCCTGGGAAGATATTGGAAGCATAATGTAACGTCTAATGGTAGATCCTGCTGCCATATGGCATCACGAAAATTGTGACCAAGTCCCAGGTTGCTGATCTGACTTTCTGCCTCATTTACACACAATTGCAGGGACTCGATTGTTTCTCTTACCATTGACAACACAACATACATACTGTATATTGTTTCTCACTTTTGATTTATTATTATTATTATTATTATCATTGGTAGTAGTAGTTGGATAGTTACTTATGTATTAGGATATTTAATTTTAAGGTAATAAAATGGCAGCAAAGGTGTGGCTATTGGGGGGAGGATGGAGGCCATTTTTCATCGTAGTAGTAATATTATTATTAGTAGTAGTATTTTATCATTCTATATTTAATTTTGTATTTTTTATTATAAATTTTATTTACTATGAATTATTTATTTATTTATTTTATTTTTTAATTTTATCCTCTTCACCACTGATCGGCTCTTTAGCCTCTTGGGCGATCGGTCACATCGTTGTTACACACTGTTGGCAAGTACTGGGCATGCACCGGCTCCTGAATGTACCTGAACCTGCTCCAGTGTTGGTCAATTCTGGCCTTGAAAGAGCTCATACTCGGTGCTGTCACAACACTTTCTGGTAGATTGTTCCAAGAGTTCACAACTCTCACTCCGAAAAAGTTTGCCCTCACAGTTTTCTGGACCTGCGGATATATAAGCAATAGGGGTTGGGTGTAAATGGGACTACCCAGTATGGGCCAATAGGCCCGCTGCAGTTTCCAACATTCTTATGTTCTTCAATCTTGAGCTGTGACCCCTTGTGGGACGAGCGTCCGCCAGCTCCAAGTAAGGGCACTCAACTGAGTAGTGCCCCTTGAGATGCTTATACACCTCAATTAGGTCGCCCTTCGCCGGTCTGTAATATAAGCTAGGCAAGTTCAGGCGCTCCAATCTCTCAGGGTAGTTGAGGTGCCGAAGTGCAGGCACCAGTCTGGTGGCCCTCCTTTGAAGATTTTCAACCAACTGACAGTCCCAAGCATATCTCGGGGTTCCAGACGGGGTGACAATACTCCAGATAGGGAAGCACTTCACTCTTGAAGATCGTTACGAGGGTCTAGATATCTGAACGACCTTCTTAGAAGACCCAATAATTTATTTGCCTGATTTACCTTATTCTCGCAATGTCCCGAGAACTTCAGCTCATTGTCAACATACACATCTCGGTCCTTCTCACATTCAGTCTCAAATAGTGCAGTTTCTTCATCCCGTTGGGACATATGATATACCTCCTTACCGTTGGTATGCCCCAGGTGCATCCTCTTACACTTCGTGACATTGAATCTCAGCAGTCATTTCTTCGACCATTCCTGGAGCTCACAGAGATCCTTCTGCAGCTCTTCACAGTCCGCATGGTTCTTGATTTCCCGAAATAACTTGGCCTCATCAGCAAAAATTTGTATGGAGGAGTGTACAACGTCAGGCATGTCATTTATGAAACAAACAAAAAACAGCGGGCCCAAGACACTGCCCTATGGTAACCCACTTGTGACAGGTACAGATGATTTCGTGTTGTTGTTGTTGTTGTTGTTGTTGTTGTTGTTGTTGTTGTTGTTGTTGTTGTTGTTGTTGTTGTTGTTGTTGTTGTTGTTGTTGTTGTTGTTGTTGTTGTTGTTGTTGTTGTTTTGTTGTTGTTGTTGTTGTTGTTGTTGTTGTTGTTGTTGTTGTTGTTGTTGTTGTTGTTGTTGTTGCTGTTGTTGTTGTTGTTGTTGTTGTTGTTGTTGTTGTTGTTGTTGTTGTTGTTGTTGTTGTTGTTGTTGTTATGTTGTTGTTGTTGTTGTTGTTGTTGTTGTTGTTGTTGTTGTTGTTGTTGTTGTTGTTGTTGTTGTTGTTGTTGTTGTTGTTGTTGTTGTTGTTGTTGTTGTTGTTGTTGTTGTTGTTGTTGTTGTTGTTGTTGTTGTTGTTGTTGTTGTTGTTGTTGTTGTTGTTGTTGTTGTTGTTGTTGTTGTTGTTGTTGTTGTTGTTGTTGTTGTTGTTGTTGTTGTTGTTGTTGTTGTTGTTGTTGTTGTTGTTGTTGTTGTTGTTGTTGTTGTTGTTGTTGTTGTTGTTGTTGTTGTTGTTGTTCCCAGGCCTCGATGTAGGTCAGTGACCTGTGCCAGGGTGGGCTAATACCCGAAAAAATAATATATTTGACAGGCTCACAGAGAGAGAAACCCCTATTAGATAAAAGCCGTAGCTACTCCATCGTTGTAAAAATAAAAATAAAGCAAGCACACTGGAAATGCACAATCCATCATAAATAATCGGTGTTTGGCCATCGTTTTACAAGGATGAGGCAACCTTTACCTCCGGAAAACTGATCATTGTCATGATTTTCAATCAAATTAGATTGCGGCAATTAAGGGAAAGTCAATTGTGAAGTGGTGAAGGTTAAAGCAAAGGAAAACGAATTTTAAGTCCGCATCTCATCACTGTTCGCAAGGAATATTTAATAAGGAAGTTTTACTCGAAGCGTTTAGCAGGGCGTAAATGGCGATACTTGGCAGCTATTGTAGTTGGTTTTCTCACTTCCTCAAGGGATGGCGACACAGTCGTAGGTGTGTCGTCTGCAATTTTTATTTTTTTTTAATTTCTAACCGCGACATTAGAATGCATAATGGTTCCACGTGGGTGGGTATAAGTCTTGCTGTGTCAACAAAAAGAACAAAACGCTATTCAGTAATTTAAAATTGTAGGGGTTGGGCCATGGTCATCAGGTCACTAATAGTCAGGGCCGAGTAGAGGGCGGATACACCGCCGCGGAGTCGGCTCCAATTTTATCTTCACCTTTCTCCAAACAACTCTACCACTAAGTTTATTAACTCACCATTCGTTCTTCATATCTATTGTAATGGTGTGGCCCAGGAGACCTAAAGGGGCACGACCCCTGGCAGTTTTGAGTGACTCTGGCTGCTCTCGTGGCGGTGTCGGGACTCGGAGTGTGAGTCTAGTAACGTGGCAGACCGGTAACTAGTGGGCTGTGCTGTGGAACAATCATCATAAACATGGACGTAAGTGTCAAAGTTGGTAAATATTTAGAAGTTGCCATGTAATTCATCATGTTTCATACGAATTTGACCTTCATTTCTGTCGGAATTGAGTACTGTAAAAGATTATTTTTTAAGAATGTTAATTAATATTATGGTAATTTCTGAGAAAAACATTATCACCAGAAGTTGTTCGATCTGGTAAATTTGCTTTTAATTGCCCCACTCAACCTAATCTAACCTTATCTAATCTAATAGGTATATTAAAAAAGCAAAAAGTTGTGGGGCAATTAAAAGCAATAATACTTTTCATTTTAATTACTGTACAGTATATGTATTTTTTCTAGCTTTACTCTATGATCATAAATCACCTGTACTGGGCAGGGCATGAAGGATGAGAGAATTTGTGGAGTAAAACATAGTGAAGAATTGATCATATGACATTCAATTGATGTCTCTACGTGCTTTGTGTGTGAAGAAATTACGTTACTTATTTACTGTAAATACTTCTTAAAAATATCTGCCAAGTTAGCAAGTGTTGTTGTCTGCTCTGTTCGCTTACACCCAACCCACTCGGTTTGAGCGTACTCTCGTGTCCACAAAATATTTATAATTACACCATGACACTTCAAAAAAGTTACTTTCATTGATACCAGATACCAAACCAAGTATTGTCTGTTTAATATGGCAGGGGCCTCACTGCTAGGAAGTTAGCTAAAGTTAGGTAGGTTTTTTATGGTTGGTAAGGTCAGGTTCTAGTAAAGGTTGCCTCTTTTAAAATACTATAATGATAAGTTCGTCTGTGGGAATATTAACAAAATCGACAACTTCTGGTGGTAGTGCTGTTCTCTGACATTGCCAGTGTTATTAATGTAAATGATTCATCAAATTATTAAAATAACATATACATTTTAATTACAGGTTATAGCAAGTGATAAGACGGATAATACGAAAGATTTTGTTCTCCAATATTCCAACAATGATTTTGTGTACTCTACATGCAGCGAACATGGCCAAGTCCTGAGGTCAGCTTTTGATTCATTACTCCTGGAAAAATGGAAGGTGGCAAAAGAAGCTGATTTATTTAATTATCAAGTTGATGATGTTGAAACAAAAATTTTACCTGGAAGATTTGAGTTTGTGGCTCAGGTGAGTTATGTGAATGATTTTTGCTGCCAAACATAGATTAACTTTGCCAAGTTGATATAAACTTTTAGATTAAGGACTGAGTTCAGCAAATTCTATAAATATTTGGCTTAAATTAATCAGAACCTTCTGGTTGGAGCTTCGAACTGGATCAATTTGTGACAGTGGAGAGATCTGTCACACAAGGAGTCAAATTTATTAGGAATATTGCTCAAAATTTCAATCCAGTATGCTTGTCCCAACCTAAAGCATCAGCTACCCTAAACTACTGTATTTAGTAAGGATTTAGCTGTGTGGTGGTGAAAGAATCAGCAGCCATTGAGTCAAAAGGGAGTTTATGTTTACTGGTACAGATTTTACTGTGTAAAGATTTACACTTGGTGGAGATGCATTTTATGAGAGAGATTGCACCAAAACAGCAATGCTTGTGATATCATAAACAAAAGCATGGTTCCTTTCTTATTATTAAACTTAATGCATGAATTGGATTTTTCTTTTTACAGTACTGTACATAATATCCAGCAGAGTATCTCAAATTATATGTAAAGGAAATAAATCAATTAATTTCAGGTGTATAACTAAACAGCCCTCCTCCCATTGTCAGTCATGAATTCTAGACAATAATTTGGTGGCGAGGAGGAGATAGGGGACAGTGTCATCCATGAGGAGGTGCCAGCAAACGTGGAAGCTAATTCACACTTTGCTTTAAGTATTGTGTGGGGTGCAATGTTGTTGTTTCGTATGCTTTTTTAAATTTGTATGTGGTATGTTTAAAAATTTAAGGATACTAATTTTATACTCACGTTGTGGTACTCGGAAATATTCTTTGAGCATAATGACGCTTAAGACAGAGCGAAGATGAGGAGTGCAATCATTCTCACAGGTTACTTGCTTCCTTCCCTCTTTCTTGAAATGAGATTTCAAATATTCATCCTTCATTTCTTCAACTAAGTTTTTCTCTTATGTTCTCATTACTACATAAATTGGGAAGTTATGAATCATAAAATTAAAAGAGTTACCAACTAAGTTCAGATGATGTCATTTACTTTATACTGTTGACATAATTCAATTTTGCAGATGAATGCCAACCGGAAGACAATGAGGAGAAAACCACAAAATATGTTACATATATTGCAGCCTTTTGATCCTGAAAAATTCAATTTCACCAAGATTAAACCAGAAGAAATTCTTGCAAACTTATGTTATGAACATATCAGTCCACAGGTAAGATTGATTTTTATTAATTATTTATTGTATAAACCCAACCACAATAGTACAAGATGCTCAAGATGCATTCCAGAGAAGAGAGTGCTTACTGAATCAATGCTAAAAGAGGTCATTATCCTATTGTATAGATGTGTTCCTGAAGCTGTTACACTTGCCAAGGGTGACGTTTAAATGCTTCTTTTGGGTACAGTGCTGATAAACACAATGTTCTAGTATACAAGTATTTATTTAACTAAATAAACACATTTATGTCTTTTAATAATGGCAGTAATGACTGGATGAGAGGTTGTGGGTAGATGAAGTAGATGAGAGGTGTAGGATATTGTGTGGCTATGTTCTGGGTGAGAGGAACCCATCTCTTTGTCACTGAAAGGAGTAGAAAAGGCAGCATGTAATAATAAGGGAAGTGGTGGTATTGAATGAAATGGTGATGAGTGAGATGGTAATAAACAGCTTGTTTGCTAATACTGTACAGTACTGTATTGCAATACAGTACCTTAAAGCATCTAATTTAATCTCTAGATTAATACTTTTCCTTGTTTTCTTTCTTATCAGAGCCACTAATATCACTTGCCACTCATTTTACAGAGGTGTGAGAGCTTTACTCTCTGTTAACAGACTAGATTAAATAAATATGGCACCTGTATGCAAACTGGCACTGGCAGAGGAATATGGTGGTTGATCGGTGATTTAAGGCTACCGAAAGTAGTCCACTGTTGTGTAAATAAATAAAAATTGTGAGGTATACCTGTATAAGTTCAGCAAGCTGACGAGAGAGGCTGCAAGAGACCATGCAGTGTGAAGAGGTGCCGTCGGTAGTCACGATTAACCCATGCAAGTGTGTAAAATAGCAGTAAAATGTTGTTGTTGGTGATGAGGAAAATAAATACAGTATCAGATTTAATATTGCTCCATCAATTCATATATTCTTGACAGAGACCAGAATCAGGGGAAAAGGTAGGAAGAGACACAAGAAACTTAGAAGCTAGCCTCATCATCAACAATGCTCCAATCTGTTGTAGCCACAGTTTGGTTGTTCCTTTTCTGGCCCACTGTCAACCCCAAGTACTCGAACATAAAGGCCTCTTGATGGCTCTCCATACACTTCTATTGTCTCAGACGCCGTGAGTTGAAAATAATCACTTTATTTTGGTAATGAAATTAGTGTATGGATGTAATACAAGTTGTTCATCAAATAATGCAATCCATACAGTATTTTTATATTTGTTATATCAATAAAGGTATGGTTATTCTATTCTATATACATTGCTTTACTTATTGAACACCCTGCGTATGCCCATTTGTTACCATCACATATTCAATAAACACATCACATTCTCCATGTGTATGTATCTGCAAATTTTTCTTCATTCCTCTATATGTGGGATGATTCAGGGTAGTACAGGTATGTGTATTCTTATTTCTCAATGAGTCAGTTCTGTGAATTCCCCTTATTTCCTCCCCTCATATTTTTTATCACCATTATATAGTTTGAACCTTTGCCTGTTCCTATTATATACCAAGTAACAGTTAAATCTGAAGGATAGTTTACTGTACTGTATTAGCATATAGTACAGGTATACTAAAAATTGGATTTGTTACAGTCACTGGTCTAGGTTTTGGGAACTTAGGTTTTCAATAGGTAGTCCTCTCAGACTGTAGATGAATTGCCTGCATTAAGCTCTATAATAAATGTGGTTTCAATTTCAGTTTCTTATTATTTAATGTAGGTTTTTAAAAAACAAACAAAAATCTGAGTTGGGAAAAGTGGTTTTGGCCCACTAGTGTCAGTCTTACCCATTCCTAGGCCCTACCAGGAGCTCTTAAGTGTGTACACTACTTGGACCCATTGGTGTAAAAGGAGGCTATGCCTAACCCCACAAATGAATCTTGGATCTCTTTTTGCTTTTCATTCCTTCTGCACCATGAAATAGACTTTAACAAGTACTGTATCATTTCTATTCTTTCTCACAGAGATCTTAGAATTGCTTATAATTCTCTTGGTGGTTATGCATCAGTGAATCATCTCCACTTTCACTTATATTACCTGCCCTACAAGCTTCTCATTGAAACTGCAGTAAGTCCACCAATAATTGTATTTTGTTCTTGTTTCTGATGTAAATTTGGAGTGAAATACAGGGATCCTTGTTCATTGCCCTTTTGTTTGTCGTTTTGTTAACCCGCTGGGTTTCAGTCACGGATATACTGTATCTGTAGGTAATAAACGGTAGGTGTCAGCTGGCGATGATCACGGATATGTCCATGATGAAATATTACCAATAACTATCAGTATACGGTTTTAAGCATCCATGGGTTTCCACGACTGCTTGATAGAACTCATCCAATAAGTGTTCCTTCCATGCTGGACTAGAAATCACATGCAGTGGCTGCAAAAACCTGTAGATACTGTACTTAAAACTGGATACTGTGCTGTGTTTGGTAAAACAGTCTACAACATATAAAATTTGGATACTCAAAACTACAGTAGATGGTAAATCTGTGGTTTTTGACAGATTTCTGAACTTGCTTAACTGAAATGCTGAAGATACCTTAATTAGGCAATAAACAAAATATGTGTTTCTCTAGATGTATTTGTCTTTTACAAGCCCCCCCAAAACCACATTAAAGTTCTAACATAGTTTTTTCTTTGCATCCGAAAATATAATTTGCTTAAGGATTCAGTAGGATGTTTGTATTCTGTTTGTTATTGCAGGAATGTGAGAGACTAGCAGGCCCTTGTTACGTCTTCAAGGACTACCATGCTCCGGGTTTTGTGTTTCAACTTGAAAATGGAGACATTGATAGATTAATAAGGTAAGGTTGAAATATAACATTTATGATTAATGTTGATATGGTAGAGTTTCTTATATATTATAATTCCATACTAATAACAATATGTTCTTACTGTCTTCTTATATCACAATTTCTGTGCAATCTGTGTGTTAGGTTGATCTGCTTTTCTGGCTGGCAATTCAATACCATATTAAATAGGTCACCTAATGATGTCCTGCTCTGCAGATTTTTTAACTGGTTCTTATAATTGATTCCCAGACAATGTGAAAGAAGTTTACAAAAATCTGGTTCATCCCTGAACTGTTTCAGTTTTTTAGTTGGGGAAGAAATAGGCTGATATAATTATATTTACTGTTTGACTTTATTTTCACTTTTAGTCTTCAACTTTTAGTCTTCAACAGATCAGTAATGATTGTCATCAAGCTGTTCCTGGAAGAAGAGATGGCTCACAATATGTACATCACTCGAGGAACTTCTCTTGAGGGTTCTTCCCATAGTGGTAGATACAACACTATAAGAGTGGTTCTCTGGGCACGCAAACTCTGCTATGGTAAGTTAAATAGGTATTTATAGTTCAAAGTAAAATTTGTATACATGATTTTGCCACAAATTCTCAGTAAAATAAAAGTAATACACTGTCAGTGAGAGAATTTTTTTTTGTATTTATGTTCAAAGAAAGTCATCCTTGTTTATATGTTATTTGTCTCATACTAAATCCTATTTCTTTTTTCATGCAGGGATCAAGGATATATCAGTTTTTGCTGCAGCAGCTTGTGAACTTGCTGGACATCTTCCCATATACTGTAAGTATTATAATTAAGTTAGCATTTTAGATTAGCATTATTTGATAGACTCTTTAGAGTGCACCAGTTGCGTGATTACAGCACTCGGATTCTGTTCCATGGGTTGGTGGTTCGATTGCCAGGCACTTTCACCTCACCACTTTAGTAAGTAAATGTGGTCAAGTGCAGTACCAGCCATGCTGCCTCCTTGTATACCAAAAGCTTAGTGTACAGTGTGCTGTATCACACTGTATCCACACTTATAGAATCAACAATAAACATTATATGTACTGAAGAACACCATGTTGAAATCACCATTTGGTAACCAGACACTTTTGTTTTCACCACATTCACACTTAAGCTCTTTGACTCTATTCCATCCTTCCATTTCTTAAATTTCTCCACTGTCTCTTCAATACTAAGTGTTATCAGCACTAAGTTGTCAGCGTACAACAATTCCCAGGGCAGACCAGTCTTAAAATCCTGTGGTGTAGTACCTCTAGTACCATGATAAAAAGAAGGGCTCAAAACAGACTCTTGATGAACTCCTGGTTTCACCTCAAATTTCTCACTTTCCTCACTATTTACTTTCACAGTGGTTCTTGAGCTCTGCAATGCCATAAACACTTGAACAAGACACTCCACCTACCCCTAACTTTCTCATAGTTTACTGTGCTACCTCGTTTGATACCCTTCCAATTGTCTTCTCTAAGTCTGCAAATAAAAATGACTGATATAAAGGTCATATATATTTACATATCTTAATTAGTGTTAATGGTCTATGACACAAAACAAATGAACTGTGTCATTGTTTTGCAGCATCTGATCATTGGTGCAGCCTATCGGAGGAGGATATAACTCCTACTACAAGGATTGTGTGCGAAGAATCTTTTGCCACCATTGTTCCAAAGATTGTCAAACTGTTTGGTGAAATTAATAACACTTCAGCAGGAGTGGCTCTCAATGTAGTTGATTCTGGTAGTTGAAAATAATTTGTCATAATTAAACCAATGTAATGTATAGTTTTGTTTTAGCACCACAGTATTGTAATATATTTTTACACTGAATATTGTTGAAATTTTGAGACAGTACTTGGGTGATTTTTATGTTTCTCTGTAGCTATATGGAGTATGATATCCAGTGCTATTGGTTTTGAAGATTTTTGTTCAGCTATTCCTTTAGGTTTAATTATAGATATTTTAATCTTTAGGGCGATTATGGGATAATAAGACCAGTCAAAGTTGAACTCGAACGTTATAATTCGGTCAAACCTGTTGAATACAATTCATCCTTAGTATTTCAAATAATAAATCACATGTAGGTAATCATACATAAATGTCTAATTGCCATATTTCCATGTTGTCACAAAGATAAACAATACAATGGACACAGTCTACCTAAGTAAACTTAAGTACAAGTTTAACTTACATGTTGAAGGTCTCAAACTGAATTGGTTATGTGTTCACCCTATGATGGAAGCAACTAGAGTGTTGGAGCCATTCGCCTCAGCCTTGCCTTGGCAAACACATGTTGCTGAGTCTGGCATTTTATATACAAACTAGTCCTCCCCACTACCACACAACACCATACTACTCCTTGTCTCTGTAACTCTACTAACTAGATACTTTATATACTGGCAGGCACGCCCAATAAACATGACATGACTTACAACATAACATAATATTTGTCTAAGGGTTATCCTACTCATTACTGCTTGCAGTAACATTATCATGGCCAAATGGTTTGAGTTTAAGCTTTGAATGTAAGGGTTAGGAGAGGGCAAGAAATTTTGTGTTGTATGACTCTTCCCACTTAAGTATTAATGACTACCATTTCATTTAAGAAGGTAAATTGTAATTCCTAAGCTGCATTGATTTTGTTGTAAGCTAACCAGTGAGCTTATGTGCTGCTACAACATATGTCTCCAGCTTTTAGATTTCTAGTACAGTACTGGTCTGTAATCTACTGTAATATCAGACATGGGGTAATTGTAATTAGTAAGCATAATCAATTACAATCGATTTCATTCTTATACAGGTACTCCCCGACTTACGACCTACTCGACTTACGTCCACCCGCACTTACGACCGCCTCAGTTGTACCAAAATTTGGTCAAATTATGTATTTTTGAGTCCCAAAGTCAGTACACAGACAAAATTTTCATCTGTAATTCACTTTAAAATGTCTGGCAAGCTTAAAAGTGAGAGTTTTGTGGTGCTGAGAAGAAAAAGAGACATCCATTTTCGATTTTCTATGTGTTATTTAAGCATTTCCGACTTACGACCATTTTGACTTACGACCTGGATGTCGGTCCCTAACCCCGTCATAAGTCGGGAGTACCTGTACTTTCCATTGGAATTGAAATCATAATTGATAACCTAAAAAATTTAATTACTTTTATCAATTGTACTTTTATGTTTTTATTATATTTGAAGTATAAATGTCATCCTTTTCGGGCCAATTGTTTTCCCATGAGCAAATTCCCAGTAGGTCCAATTTAGTTTACCGCTAAGCACAATTATGCAAATACAGTAGATGCTAAAAGTTACATTTTTAACTGCTAATACAATTTAATAGGTTTTTCAACACATTCATGATCAGTGGCTGCAAAGTTTCTCTGTCCACTCCTGCATTACTGGCTACTGGTATAAGTTTTGTACAAAAAATTACAAGCTGAAAAATAAATTGATATCACAGTCTCATGTATTATGATTTTCACACCCACTTTTTTCTGAAGAGTCCCAGAATAGTGTTTTGGGTGACAGGTGGCAAAAAATAAAATACAGACAGTCTCCAATTTATTAGCACGATTCATCTTCTCACACTAATCCAAGAACTTCAGTCTCACATCCAGTTTCAGTCAATGAAGTGTCTTCTTAAAGTTGGAGCATGTGAGCCTCCCTACTATTGGTATAAAAAAGGTACATCCTCCAGCATTTCACAACATTGAATCTCGGTAGCCATTCCTTTAAGTCCCTTTGAAGCCAATAAAGATTTCCTGTAAAGCTTCACAGTCCTATTATACTGTATATCTGATTTCTGTGAATAGTTTAGCATCATCTGCAAATGTTTATATGAAAGAATAAATTGCATTTGACATGCCATTTATGAAACAAATTAACAACATTGGTCCAAGCATGTTGTTTTCCAGCACACCGCTTGGTGCTAGTACACACAATGATTTGAGGCGTTCCATGCGACAATGACGAGCCCGTCATGGGTTGAAAGACTCATTTTCTATGTCACCAGATAGCTCTGTTCCACCTCTATGCACCGACATTGACGTCATATGGTGGGCTCGTCAGTATCGCTTTGTAAATCTGCCTTGAATGCAAGGGTCTGGACGTCATATGGAGAGAAGTGGTGTCACTGCTCCGGGAAGACATGATGAGGATGCTACTGATGCCAGCCAATGAGTGTCAGCTTTGTCACGCCCGCCAATGTAGGTGCCCATTACTTTTTGCAGTAATACTTCCATAATAATAATAATAAGGAAACAAGAAGTATTAGTACCATAAGCATGAGAACAATATTTCTTATTATTTCACTCATTTATTGACCATTTATACATTTTTGTTGGTTATGGAAGTATTCTGTGATTAAATTATTTTATTAATATAACCATATTCATTTTTTTTTTTTTTTATCTTCTTCGCCACTGATCGGCTTGTTAGCCGCTTGGGCGATCGGTCACGTCTCTGATTACTTTTCCTTTTCATTTATCTTCTTCACCAAAAGATCGGCTTGGTAGCTGCCCGGGCGATCGGTCACGTCTCTGTCACGCACTGTTGGCAAATACTGGGCATGCACCGGCTCCTGAATGTACCTGAACCCACTCCAGTGTTGGTCAAGTCTTGTCTTGAAAGAGCTCACACTCGGTGCCATCACAACACTCTCTGGTAGATTGTTCCAAGAGTTTACAACCCTCACTCCGAAAAAGTTTGCCCTCATGGTTTTCTGGACTTGCGGCTTCTTCAATCTTGAGCTGTGACCCCTTGTGGGGCGAGCGTCTGCCAGCTCCAAGTAAGGACACTCAACTGAGTAGTGCCCCCTGAGATGCTTATACACCTCAACTAGGTCCCCCCTTGCCCGCCATTGAAATAGGATAATAATTCGTGATAGTAGGGGGTAATGAGGTTCAGTGGGTTACACTTATTTGTAATCTTTATTATATTTACATTTATAGACACCACATACAGTACTTTAAACATCAATATCAAAGTATTCTTAAACAAATACACCTTTAAAATGAGACTTCAATCATCTTGATAGGTTGAATTTGGTAAAGTTTGGCTATTTACTGTACAAAAAACTTTAATCCCCATTATCTCAAAATGTTATTTTAGCGGGCTCGTCATTATCGCACGGAATGCCTCATTTCATGCTGTGCAGTAGTTGAGCTGTTCTCAACAACAATTTTGAATAGACATCCGTGCAATATGGGATTAGAGGGCTGGCACACTGTCGTGGAGCAAGTAAATATCTTTGTTCAGCATTACAAGTCATTTCTAACAGATAATTTTACACACTTACTTTATACATTAGACCAACATAATAGTTTCCAGTGATTATTCTTCTTTGTGGAAAGTAGTTAATCAGCAGAGGCCCTTTGGCATCCCGTCAAGGCCATGATCTTGACAGCTTAGGGTTGACTTATGAACTTCTTGGAAGGTTGGAGAATTTGAATGGTTCCATTGCATGGGTTCCTTCTTTGACTTATACTTATATTGAAACCGTTTATTTAGCGAGAAAAATGCAGAACAATCTATCAGAGTACCGTCCTCATATACTCTGTGAGGGTTGGCGACCACAGTCCTCCACTCTAAATGTTCTTGGAGTGTTATAACCAATCCTCCAAAGTTTTGTATCCCTCCAAGGACCCAGTTTTTAATTTCATTCATCCATCCCAGTCTCTGCCTTCCTTGGCCCTCCTATCCTCAACTGCCCATTAAGATTTCTGTTATTATCCCCCCACCCTTAATTGCATGACCAAAGTATCTCATTTTCCCTTTTCTGTACATGTCAAGTATTTCTCTTGAAGTTTTTGCTAATCTTAGTACTAATTCATTTGTTTTCCAGTCAGTGAAGCTTATTCATAGCATTTGTCTATAACATCACATTTCAAAGCCTCCAACCTCTGTCTGGTGTCTGCTGAAAGTGTCCACGCTTCAGACCCATACATCAGGCCTTGCCATATACAGTAAAGCCTTTGGGCAGCCTTTTTTTCAAATTGAAGTTATTGTCCCTTTTCATAAGATCTTTTTTCATTAGATCTTTTAGATTATTGACCCTCTGCCACACACAATAAGTTTTTAAGTTTCTGTGACCATGACAAAGGTCACAATGAGAAACTGTGATCACAACTTACGTGCAGGTCTGGGCATCTTCGTTCTGTGACCAATTTATCCCACATGATTTTTTTTTATGCATAATTTATACATCAAAAGCTTCATTAATTATTGTTTTGGCTTAAATAAATGACTAAAAAGACAATATTTTCACTCCGAATAAAGAACAAAATACCAACATCATTATCTTGGATATTTTCGCACAAACCTACCAAGTGAGTAATAGTTATAGAAGCAGTTTTTATGAGGGCGAGTTTGTATGGGGCGAGTTTGTATGAGGGCGAGTTTGTATGGGGCGAGTTTGTATGGGGCGAGTTTGCATGAGGCGAGTTTGTCTGAGGGCGAGTTTGCATGAGGCGAGTTCGTACGAGGGCAAGTTTGTATGGGGCGAGTTTTTATGAGGGAGAGTTTGTATGGGGCGAGTTTGTATGAGGGCAAGTTTGTATGGGGCGAGTTTGTATGGAGTGAGTTTGTATGAGGGAGAGTTTGTATGGCGCGAGTTTGTATGTGAGTGAGTTTGCATGAGAGCGAATTTGTATGGGGCGAGTTTGTATGAGGGCGAGTTTGCATGAGAGCGAGTTTGTACGAGGCGATTTTGCATGGGGCGAGTTTGTATGGCAGATCTTTGATGTAAACTCCTAGCTACAGAAGAAACAGTGGAATACTTCACCCTGACACTCCTAGCGTTGGTAAACAAACCATCCTTAAGACTTCTGGGTTCCTTAAAAGGCGGCCAGTCCCATAGTGGTCTAAATTACAGCCTGAATAACACCAAAACGTCACCTTGAAAAACCATAGGCGGGGAGTAATTAGCATTGGAAAAGTAATTAAAAATGTTGAGATGTCATTTGTACAAGTAATTAATTATACAGATATCAAATTGTGGACAGCAGATCCTTCGTATACGTTTTGAAGTCTTGGGGTACAGGGTATTTATCATTGTCCTCACCTATCGCCTTGATCTTGTGTTATCCCGTGATGTAATAGTGTACAATTACTCAAAAGAAATTATCTATACAAAATTGTGTTGATAAAATATGTCGACATAATCACCCAGGTCTTTCACACACTTAGTTTTATTTAGGGGAATATCCTCATCATGCTGGTACATGGTGGTACACTTCTTCCTCGTGTTATCGCGACCAAGACGCATCTTGTTTTTCGTAAGTTTAACTCTGCAGCCACTCTTTTTAATCACGATTGAAGGTGGCAAATAACGTCCTGTAATGCTTCTCAGTCCATTGGATTTTTATTATACTATATTGTATCTGAAAACTTAGTGTTATCAAATTATCTGTGTGGAAGAATGAATAGGATCTGGGTCATCAATTATGAAATGGACGAACAATATTGAGTTCAGCACACTGACTAGCAGCGCACCACCTGTCATGATGGTTTCGTGCCATTGATAACCATGTACTGTATTGTTTACGATAGTTTAGGAGGGCACCGATCCATGCAAGGTTTTCCTGTGTATTTCATATTCTTCCCAATTTAATTTTAAGCCTTTTCTGAGGTTCACTGTCAAATAAATGTCTTGACAAAATCAAGGCACTGTATATCTGTTATATTTTCAATAGCACCGCCAAGGTTTAGAACATGTGACCATGCATCTAATACCTCTATCAGCTGTGTCAAGTAGGAACATCCAGGCATAAACCCACGTCAGCATTCTTTCTCAAGGTTGTGCCATTGTAGAATGTGGTCTATCACGTAATTGTGTAAAATGCTCTATAGCTCTTTACATATAAGGCACTTTAGGGTCACTGGCCTTTAATAATTCATATGGTGGTGATCGCCTATTTGAATACAGGACTAATAGTAATTTTCAGTGCTTAGAGATGTTATGATTGTTCATAGTTTTGCAAAACAAGATACGAAGGCGTACCTGAAAGCTCGTTACACAACTCCCTTAATACTCGGGGATGGAGGATGTATGCTATCAGGAGATTTTTTATGAACCTTGAGTTTAGATAATTTATTTTTTATAAGCTCTTCTGAAAACTCTACGTACCTCAGTGCTGTACTGAACTGCCATTCATCAAAAGTGGGTAGGTTACTGGCATACTCTCTTGTAAACATTAATGAAAATAATTTGTTCAATGCCTTTACTTTGGGCTGGGTTGACTCCTCAGAACTATCAGCCTCAGATCTCGAATCTGATACACCCACACATGTCCTTAATTTAGATTTGTGCAAAATGATAGAAAGTTTCACCTCTGGAACTCTCTTTCCACTCCTGTCTGAGCTTGTTTTCTGAATCCAGTATGAGTACAGTGTAGTGGACGTCTCCCCTACAAACTGCGTAGCAGTCACCACCTGCTATCACATTCCAACGTGCCGTTGCCTAGCAACGAAACTATTCACCGGCGACTTCTCGGGTTTTCCCAACATGACTCATAGCGGCTGCTGGGTATATAAGCTCTGTCTCTCCATTGAGATTCATTCTGACCATTCTTCTTGAACTAGCAACACCTCCTCCTCCGCCGCTGCCTGGCTGCCTAAGCTCCTCCTCGCCTGCCTGGCGGTCCTCGCTCCCGCCAGCGAGCATGGCGACCCACCAGCTATCCTTCTCTGAGCTTCCTCACCAACCAACTCACATTCTGGCCCATCTTCCTGAACATGCAACACCTCCTCCAGCAAGCTCCTAGCTGTCCAGCATTCATTCAACCAGGAGGCCAGCAACAGGCAACATCTTCTCTAACGAAGCTCCTGCACATCTACCTCCTTCAACAAGCTACTCACCGAACGTCTTCTACTGAGCAGCTCCCCACCACACGGCATCTCCAGCACCAGACTGTCTATCATATAACTTATATTATACAAGAAATCCACATTAGAGTTTCCTTCCATCCCGAGTGCTCGACAACATTAATATGTCGATACCCCTACAATGGTGACTCCCGGAGATTAGCACTCACACAGGATGGAGGAGACACTGATCACGCTCCCAGTCTTCAAGCAGACACCGGCTCCTCTTCCTGCCCCACGCACCACATTCTGACGACCCCAGCACACCCGTCCTGCCTCAGACGCCGACCCCGGCCCAGCAATAACCCCTGACGCGGCCTCTGTTCCTGAATCCGGACCCCCACACACCCTCTTTTCTCTCTCAGGTACTCCCTGCTAATGTCCTGCACCCTGCTGCTGTTGTGGACCCAGCTGCTGTCACGAGCCCTAATCCGCTTCTGCTGACGCAGCCCCTGCTCCTGACCCAGGCCCACACACACCCCAGCAGGCGCATCTGACGACCCTGTACCTGTCGTGAGGGAAGCACACCAATCATCGCCTCCACACACCCTTTTTCTCCCTTCTCCCACAGATAGTGTGTATCTAGACAGTTGTATTTCAGCGATCGGCTCATCACGCCATCGCCGTTGTCTCACATGAGGCATGCACCGCCCGGTCTGCCTCACATGTGCTAAGCAACTCTACAATCAACAAGTCTCCTACACCGCCTGGAGGGAAGGGGGAGTATTGTAGTGGACGTCTCCCCTACAAACTGCGTAGCAGTCACCACCTGCTATCACATTCCAACGTGCCGTTGCCTAGCAACGAAACTATTCACCGGCGACTTCTCGGGTTTTCCCAACATGACTCATAGCGGCTGCTGGGTATATAAGCTCTGTCTCTCCATTGAGATTCATTCTGACCTTTCTTCTTGAACAAGCAACACCTCCTCCTCCGCTGCTGCCTGGCGGCCTTCGCATCTCCTCGCCTGCCTGGCGGTCCTCGCTCCCGCCAGCGAGCATGGCGACCCACCAGCTGTCCTTCTCTGAGCTTCCTCACCAACCAACTCACATTCTGGCCCATCTTCCTGAACACGCAACACCTCCTCCAGCAAGCTCCTAGCTGTCCAGCATTCATTCAACCAGGAGGCCAGCAACAGGCAACATCTTCTCTAACGAAGCTCCTGCACATCTACCTCCTTCAACAAGCTACTCACCGAACGTCTCTACTGACCAGCTCCTCACCACACGGCACCTCCAGCACCAGACTGTCTATCATATAACTTATATTATACAAGAAAACCACATTAGAGTTTCCTTCCATCCTGAGTGCTAGACAACATTAATATCTCGATACCCCTACAACAGTACATCACTCTGTCCTGCTCGTCATTAGTGGTGACCTATTTCCTGAAACAGATTTATTCTTAACCTTTGCAAGTGCTTCTTTAGTGTTATACTGATTTCCAGTTTTTTCATTACTCCAGTCAGTATCACCGTAACTGAAACCACCCATTACAAGGAGGTGGCTTGGACCGAGTGTCAGTGTGGTGTCTTTTAAGGATATCAGATTCGCAGATTTTTTAAATTACGTATCTGTAATGAATTCAAGGATGGTCTCTTTACATCAATTATATTTTACATCACTTCGACTCTTCTAAAACGTCGTCCCTTTGTATCCTTACCTGACTGGCTCTAAGGTCCTTTCTATAATATATGAAACCACATCCCTCTTATATGTTGACCCAGAAACGTTCATAAATGAGTCATAGCCATCGATCATAAACTTGCATTCATGCTGCTGAGTCTGACTAACAGCATGACCTTCGGCTCGTTATTCCAACCATATTTCACAGCCATGAAGTTGCCCTGGTGGTATAATTTTATCAATCAGGGTAGCATACTGAGTCTGGACACCCTAACGTCATGTGTGACGACCCAATGATACGCCATAGTCTGTGTGACAGCCACATAGCACTAATTTTGTGGCGACCAGTGATATAATGGTCAGCATATTCGCCTCGCAAGCGAGCGGACCCGGGTTCGATCCCCGGGCATGGTGAAACTGTGGGCAAGTTTCTTTACGCCATTTGCCTTTATCTACCCAGCAGTATTTAAGAACCTGGATGTTAATCGATTTGTGGATCGTATTTTGGGGTAATGGTTTACTAGTGCAGTTGGTGAGTTGTTCGGTCTTCTCGGACTATTCCTTGACACTGGGTCATGCAGCTCGTTAACTTAGGACGTGGGTGTTGTGTTGGCGACAATTTCTACTCCATAAACAAATTCACGCCTAGGTGGCCCTTGGACCGGCCATCCTCGTTACAAGAGGGGCAACCATTATATTATTATAGCAGATGGTGACTGTTTGTGGGTATGTCCTGGGGTGTCCTGTAACTAAACTATCACATTTCTCTAGTACACCCAGAGCAGATAAACGTGTTGTGTTTGATCTCTTGACAGATTGATAAGGTAAATGAAATGGAAATTCGGGTCTTTTCTGATCAGGTAAATGATACTATCTGAGATACTGTATCAGAGGGCACTACTCACTCAAGTGTCCATACCTGGAACTGTCGGCCGCCAGCCCCACAAGGGGTCACAGATCAATGTTGAAGAAACCACAAGTCCAGAAAAAAAATGTGAGGGCAGACTTTTTCGGAGTGAGAATTGTGAACTCTTGGAATAACCTGCCAAAGAGTGTTGTGACGGCACCGAGTGTGAGATCTTTCTTGACCAATACTGGAGCAGGTTCAGATACATAGAGCAGCCAGCAGGGCCGGATTCAGGAGTGGGCAAAGTGGGCAGCTGCCCAGGGGCCTCCACAATCTGGGGGCGTCCACATATTACAATATTTTATTTATTTGTTTATTCATTTGGATTATTTTTATTTTCATTCTTTAAAATTCATGTTTATCTATTTCATCACGTAAAACTATGTTCAGCAAGAAGCGTGATAGAAATTAGGCTAGCTACTCCTTGAAATCATGAACACCTGGTTTTCCTATTAACCGTATATTTTTAATATTTTAAATATAACTGCATATGGCTTCAAAATTCTCCAAAGAAGTGTTCAAATTTCAAAACTTTCCCGGGGGACTTACAGCGCCCCCGGAACTCCCAGATGTTTAGGCTCACTTCACTCGCCACCCCACCCTCTTGGGTAGTTATAATGAGGGGGGCCTCCACAAAGAGGCTGCCCATGGGCCTCCACAGGTCTAAATCCGGCACTGGCAGCCAGTGCATACCCAGTACTTGCCAACAGTGTGTAACAAAGACGTGACCGACCGCCCAAGCGGCTAACGAGCCGATGAGTGGCGAAGAAGAGAAAAATAAAAGTATAATAGGTTGATGAAATCAAGCGAGTTTCTGAACTTTCTGGTAAATCGTTCATTTATGACCCACCGCTAGACCTCGTGTTGCCATGAAAATTATCATGACTCCGGCATCTGTTGTGATTGGAGCTACTAGCTTGTGTACGATAATTATAAAGATTTTAATTTTTATTCGTAATTCGATGTGTATGCTCTTGGTGCGGTTTCCATTTCTGAGCTCTAAATTAACATTAAAATAAAATACTTAGAAATCTATACAATATGGATGTTTACAAACAAAATAAAACCGTTAAGACGCAACATTTTATCTGAGTCGGCTGATGTAAGGAGGGAAACACTCGCCTGGTACAATGTACAAAACTCGTCAACGGGTTTGCTTCTGCGCAGGTGGGCGGAGTCACCAATTATGACCAAGGATACTCGATTTTATTTGAATGTGAAGGTAGACGCAGCTGGATTCATGTTGTAGCTATGATAAATGCTCTTGGTCTCACAATTCTAAGGTTGTGGAATAACTTCTACCTGCACTATCAAATATCCAAGCGGGTAGGCTGTCAGTGTGTGAGACCCGTGCCGTCGCTTATGGATGGATATACTTTCTTAGAACTTTGAGCAGTGTGATTATATAAAGTCCTTGGTCGGAGAGAGATAGCAGTGTCATAGTGACTCATCCAAACTTCTTCACACTTACTTGTAACGCAACTGTCGGACAGATGGAAGAAGAGACAGTACTGAAGACGTAAGTTATTAACGTCTCGTGTGATAATTATCTTAGACTGTGTGAACAATTTTTAAAGTTCTGATAATCTGTTTATATCCAGACACTCGCATATTCTTTACACACACTCCCACCAGATCCAAACTCTCCCTCCGAAACACACACACACCGTGACTTTCACACACACACACACACACACACACACACACACACAACAGTATTGGCGAACTAAAATTGTAAGAATCTATAGATTAACTAAAAATAAAAAGAGGAAAATCTTTGGATAATAGAACAATAAGTGAATTTACTGCATGGAACAGATTATAGTTATTAATTGCCTAATACGACGAGGTTTGAACAGTAGACTTAATTAATGATTTACGCCTCTTCACTATCTGTGATAAGTGCTGTATCATCTGCATATCTTTTATTTTATATTACTTTGCCATTAACTTTTATTCCTTCATTGTCACTTATAACTTGTCATTAAGAATTCTGAATATGTATTATAAAATTGTTGGAGATAGAACATTTTTGTACTACTCCGTCTAGCTTTGAACGAATTAGTAACAGGACTGGATCCAGACCTCAAATTTGACCGAAGTGACCTTTCAGTTTTTATAGTTGCAGGTAGACCAGAATAAACAGAAGTCTATTGAATTGTACTCCCCATTCCGCAACCCTGTGGGGTTTTTTATAAATAAAAATTAATATTGTATATTTTGCCAGATATTTCAGCCTATTTTTTCATAAAAAGCAAAGACTGTATATGCACAATATTGTTTATATAATATAGCTTTGTGTGCATAATTACATGCACTAAGACGATTCCGATACGCGATTTCTTCCCACTTGGACGATTCCCACATTGACGATTATAGCTAAGAAATCGCCCATGCATCACAATTTATATTATGAATATAGTTTTTATTATTTGAATATATTATGAAATATATTAGGATTAGCATACGAAGATTATTATTTTTATTGTTAATATTATGATGATTATCAATATTTTGCATTAAAATTTTTCATCTTATATTTGTATTCGTATTCATGAAAGAATTATGTGTATGTAGAGCTTGTCAGTAAGTCAGGTTGGCAAATTTAATATTTAAGTGACCTGTGGTCATATCACTTGACCTCAAATGAGAAGCTCACAGTAATGCGAACAAACAACGTGTCATTGCAACTATCAGGTTTATTTTTAGACCAAGATAATGCTTTTTAATTCCACAACGAGACGTCACCTTTATCACTTGTGATTCAACTTTTAAAAATGGAACCCGAAACCTAACGATATATAGCTCATGGGGTTTGAACAAGGTTCGGCTCTGACAAAACGTACTAAACGTCATTCCCACAAATGTTTCGGAATTATCAGCAATAATCTGAGGCTCGGCAAATTACACTGGGTGACTATGTAAATCATAATCACCACTCCCCCAAAAATATTTATTTGTAGTTATCTGATACAGATCCAGGGCGTTTTATCTCAAATTTTATCTTCTGATAAACTAGCATTTACTAACCTTGTTAAGTCCTTAAAGACCGTACCCACTGCTGACTTATACACTGATCAGATAAGGAACAGACTCGTAAACTGATCAGAAATGCCCCAACCGCCATATATATTGAATATACTAATTTCAATGAGGCATTTACTAATAAGTTAGAATGAGTCTTGTTTGATTTGAATGTCACTGCATACCATGAATCAATTAGAACAGACCAAACGTGGATTTTTTTTTAATAACCTTTGTGTTATATTTGTAGGCCACTGAAGGTGACTGTCTCCTTTTATATGCTGGGCATTGTTACACTGCTGCCATGGAACTTCTTCATCACAGCGGATTCCGTAAGTGTCTACCTTTTTCTATTTTAATATGTTTTCATTATCACCACTGAAAGTAAATAATATGAATGGATATATATCGAAGTGCATAATTATTGTCTGAGACGGCATTCAAGCGACGTACACTCGGTAAAAAAACTACCGTATAGGTGAGATCCGATGATTTTCCAACTACATTCCCATTATCTCGTTAGGGTTGGTCAGCCTGAATGTGAGACATTTTGTACTTAATTTGGTAGGCCGAAATTAGCTATTTCATTGACATTATTGAATTACTTATGTTACAATATGACTGGAGAATGTCAGTATATCTAGATAAGTTAAACTGTATGTTATATAACTTACATTAAATATTCCACATACCGTGGACTACAGTAACCATGGAAGTGTGGATGAATTGCCATATAGGAATGCATTATATGTTTGGCAATGGATATAGTAAAGGTAAAAAAGATTATTTTGAAACCGAATTTCGAATCTGTATTTGTATTGCTACTTCACTTTGGGCTAATGCCACATTATATTATTCTTTATTCGTATTAGAAAATATACCATTCTGTTCCGAAATATCTGAATAGCTCCTGAATAGCTCCACAGTTACGCATGCCGTCGTAATGGAACCCGGCCCAAAGACGTTTTACCATACGGTCGATAATTCCGGAAAGTCTAGTACTGGGTTTCGTTTCATAGTGCTGATCACTTGTTTCGGACACGTGTGGCCGAACCCATATACGCGCAGGGCTACCTATGCGAGGAATGCCTCAGGGCCTTTTGAAACCTTTCGTAGTTCGTTTGTAGTGTCAGTTTGTTTCGCATAGGAATTGTAATGGTAGTTTTTTTTTTTACCGAGTACGTACACCAACTCAGGTTTGTACTTCAGAATAAAGCAAATCTACGGGTTGTCATGACGAAAATAATGCTTAGGATGTATGAACAAAGCAAGTCTTCTCGTTTTCGAGTTATGGTGTGGACATACACAGAAAAAGAAACAGAAGGCATTGAATGTCACTCTGTTTATTTTATGGCTTGGTGGTACGGGCGATATCTCAAGCTTTTGAGCTGGAAAGATGAAATAGTGACCAAGTTTTTATGGCCAAAAATATTTGTATTTATTTATTTATTTATTTGACTCTTTATTTCGTATATGGTATGACATGAAGGACGGTGTAGTCCCCTCCCCAAAAAAAAAAAAATATATATATATATATATATATATATATATATATATATATATATATATATATATATATATATATATATATATATATATGTATGTATGTATATATATATATATGTATGTATATGTATATATATGTATGTGTATATATATGTATATATATATATATATATATATATATATATATATATATATATATATATATATATATATATATATATATATTGTCACTTTCCGTATTCACAATTTAAAATGCTGGACGAAATGTTTTGATATACTGTCTTCTCCAGTGCATCACAATGTTGATATGCCTCTGCTTTCCATAACGTTAGCAACTGTAGAAAGAGTAGGAGGGGTCTTCCCTTTATGGATTACTAGACACTTCAGTATCCCTAACATTTCCATTGTGGCAGTTCTGTCATAGTAGATAATGGTGTAAAAATGCGTGTATTTGTTTTGTAGACTGCACATTTAACGAATAAATTTCACCGACAGTCCTGAAGAAATGCAGTGGAGACCTCTGGCGGCTATGGCCAGTAATAGTCTCGTTATAATATTTACACATAGATGGCACTCTTTCCTCTCACCCGGTAGGGGAGAAGGAAAGGTAGTTTTGACTAACTTAAATTACTTATTAAACTATATTGATTAATATTTATGGTTTAATAGTGGTTAATATTGGTCAGCAGTGCAGGGGGTACACTCTCCCCTACAATGTAACCATTACCGAGCCCTGATCCCCCTCCAGCAATGGATCCACTTCCTTTGGGGTTAAGGGCAGCTCAGGCATAGTGCTGAATAATTAATATGGTATACAATATAACACTTTAAAATCGGCCGTCATTCAGTCCTTGACACCTAGACCAAAGAAAAAATCACGTGACCCTTGCAAGACTATGGAGACTCCAGCTACCCCGTAGATGATGCATCTTGCGACGCCCTTTGGGGTCGCGACCCCGTGATAGGGTATGTCCATAAGAAAAAAAAATAGAACAGTACAAGTGAAGAAGAGGTATGTGTACAGTTCATGTGATTAACGGGAGGAGGGGGGCGGCGCACGCTCAGGGGCCGGAGGTGGAATGTTTGGGCTCTGGGGGTGTGTGTATGTGCAGATTGAATTCTGGCTGATCTCTGTTTCTGAGTCTGTCCGTCAAGACCCAAAACAAGTTAAACATCCCCCTTGCCCCCCCCCCCTCCCTCCAATGCCGGGGCTGGCCCAGTTATACCAAACTATCCGACTTGATACCAGCATTACAGTATCTAATAGAATTTTCCCAATCCAGCTCTATTTAGTAACTAAAAGTTATAATACCAACCTAGTACTTCTCCCCAGTAGTAGCAACTTACCTCTCCTTTCCTCAGTATTGGCAGTATAAATTCCGGAACGTAAGCCTAGAGGATGAGTGGGACGACCTTGACGCCGGCCTCACGCCCCTTCAGGTCTCCTTCATGCCCACCCTTATCATCGTCTCCAATATCTTCGCCACACTCTTTCTCGTTGTGAACTCCTTCATCGTCACCAGGTAATAAGCATCTCACTTATATATTAGAATTGAATATTTGAAAGACAAGAATCCTTGTTGATTTTTCGTAATCGTACATATCAAAATTAATATACTGACTATTTACCATACCTGATAACTATCCCAAACTACTACACTAATGTGGTCAGGACGTCTACATCCGAGACCAGCTGTTCGAAACCGAAACCCTTCCGCGACAGATTTCATTTTCAATTTTTACAGGGTTCAGCCCACCCGGGCACAGGTCACTGACCCACATCGGGGCCTGGGGGGCGAAAATGTAATAATAAAAAAATGTGGAAAAGTTGTTTGGACATACTTCCTAGCCCTCATTGGTCCCTGTTCACCTAGCAGTAATGTAGGTACCTGTTGTAAATCGAAAGTTGCGAATTCGTATTCAAGGAAAGTTGTTGGAGCTTCCAATAACTTCATGACATAAACCTTTGACTCTTCAGGCTTCTACGCCCTAACTCATGAGACATAAAGGCATATAAAAATGAAAAAAAAATATCAAAAGTGAGAAATAATATATGTATGTATGTTGTGTTGCCAATAGTAAGAGAAGCAATTGAGACCCTGGAATTGTGTGTAAATGAGACAGAAAGTCAGATCAGCAGTCTGGGACTTGATGACCTGAAGAATAGTTCAGTGTAGCATCGGGGTGATTAAACTCCAGTGGGATATGCTGGACGCCAATATTCAGGTGACTACTGAGATTCACCGTTACCTATTTTTTGGGGCGACACTTTCAGTGATCTGTAAAAACATTCATATCGTTATTATGGTGGTGTGACCACCGAGACTTGAAGGGGGTGTGTTTGAACGAATTGGTATTCATTTAAAAATACAACATGGAATTACTATCCTAAGGAACCAAAAAATTCCCACCAGTGACGTAACATATTTTTTTTTAGTTCTGGCAAGAGGAATCATGTGTAATATATTGCCCCAAGTATGAGAGAACTCGTCTCTCGTCTGGATTATTCTTTGACTGGTATGAGAGAACCCATGTCAATAAATATATACCCCACAAGTATGAGAGAACCCGTATACTTACTTTATATTGTCACAAGTAATGTATATACTACAGTATATGTGTAATGAGTTGAATGTGTTCCTCCGGCAGAGTGAGCGAGAGAGTCCGTCTACTTGGGTCACTATGCGTGTCCTTTTCGGCCATGTTATTGACCACCATCTTTACCTTCACCAACACAGACGCATGTACGTAAAACCTACCTCTACACCTTAATCACTACATCCTTAGTCTTAGTTCTGAAGTTCTTTGCAAAAATTTTGTACTCTCTCCATGATGACTGTTCTCTCCACATTCACTTCCACCTAGGGTGCCGCGATGAGTTCTATTTATCGTGTGTTCCTTATTAGTCGCTGGGTGTATTCTATTTCATTACGTTAATCAAGCTTGCGTTTATACCTGGTCCTCTAAATTTTCATTCGTCACTCTCTCTTGTATTTTTACTTAGTGAAACCCATCAGTTGAGTGTGAATGCTATACTGTAATTCATTAACGCTGCGGAGGATGCCCTTGAAAAAAAAAAGAGACTAATTATTCTCAATTTTTGGAGGAATCACTCCCAAGTAGGTACTGCGGTAAAATTGGCTATGGTGAAGATCATTTTATCATTACTGTACTGCTATCAATGCTAGATGGGAACGGTCCAAGTACCCAGTGTGACACATTATTTATGAGGATAGGCAATAATATGTGCCATGGGAATTAAAACAAAAAATAATACAATCATTAAGATTCCTCGAGTGGGTAATAATTTACCAACTTTCACATATCATGGTCGACTCAGTAATTACAAGTCTTAACTCTTAATTTTCCTGTAGGGTGCTGGGTGTTTATAGTGTGGGGTACGGGTTATTTTGTTCACACTCAGGATGGGATTGAACATAAGAACATAAGGAGTCTGCAATAGGCCGGTTGGCCTGTGCATGGCAGCTCCTGTCGAGAGTTACTACCACTCTCTATCATCCATGAATCTATCCAGCCTCCCTTTGAAACTTTCCAGCGTTCCAGCACTTACTACAAAGTTGCTAAGCTTGTTCCACTCGTCCACCACCCTATTTGTAAACCAGTTCCTTCCTATCTCCTTCCTAAACCTAAACTTATCCAACTTGAATCCGTTGTTCCGAGTCCTATCCTGCTCGGATATTATAAGAACTTTATCTATATCACCTTTATTGATTCCTTTCACCCACTTGAATGCTTCTATCATATCTCCCCGCACTCTTCGTCTTTCTAGGGAATGCAAGTTTAGTTTCTTTAACCTATCCTGATATGGAAGGTTTCTAAGTCCCGGAATCATTTTCGTCATTCTTCGCTGCACCGACTCTAGTGAATTAATATCCATTCTATAATAAGGGCACCAGAACTGAACCGCATAATCGAGGTGCGGCCTGACTAGCGCAAGATATAGTTGCTATAAGACCTCTGCACTCTTATTACTTACACTTCTAGATATAAAACCCAATACTCTGTTTGCCTTATTTCGAACATTAACGCACTGTTTTCTAGGCCGTAGGTCCGGGCTTACAAGTACCCCTAGGTCTCTTTCACAAGATTGAGAAAGGAAACTCACAATGTGCTCTCTGTACGTATACATATTGTATTGGATGTACAGTGCAGCTTGGTGCTGGGAAGTGGCAGCGTGGTTTCAAGCGTGATGTAGAGAGAGCCTGTTGGTGTGGGTGCTCAGAAGAGGACCAGCTTGTGGGTCGCCATGGTCGCCGGCGGGAGCGAGGGCCGCCAGGCAGGAGGAGGAGGAGGAGGATGTGTTGCTTGCTGTGGCTGTATACACAAAAGAAAGTAATAAGAGCTTTTTACCCAACAGGGCAGGTGAACTTCTACATCATTACCATGGTCATAGTGTCACTGCTTAACAGTAAGTATGGTAAAGATTCGTTTTAGGTACACCACTTTTTTTTCTTCAGAAAATCGACTTAACTTAACCTTACCCAATAATAATAATAATAATAATAATAATAATAATAATAATAATAATAATAATAATAATAATAAACTTAACCTTACCTAATTGGGGTCAAGAAGAAGACGTATATTAGAAAGGACAAAATAAATGGAACTGAGATTAAGGTAGAGAGCAGATGTGAATAGGATGGATAAGAATAAAAAAGTGAAAGGAGTGTTGGACAGAAAGGTGACATGGATATAGTGGTGAAATGAATGCTAGGATGGAGAAAATGTTGGAGATGAATTTCTGAAAAGGAAAAAATATATACAGTATACATGTTCCTAGCCAGGTGTAGCACCAAGATGTTAATTAATAATGTCCCCTTGTTTGCGGCAGTATTCATGGCAATGATCCAGGGGTCCAGCTACGGTCTGGCTGGAATGTTCCCTATCAACTGCATCAACAGCATGAACTCTGGCCAGGCCATAGCTGGGGTGTTCTGCTCCCTCGCTCGTATTCTCTCCCTCGTGGTGGGGGATAAACCCCTCATCAGCGGACTTGTCTTCTTCTCCATTGCTGATGTCTTCCTCCTTGCCTCCATCGCCGACTACATTTATCTTACGAAAATGGTGAGTGTGAATCATTGGCTCGAGTAACTTCCTTTTTTTCTGATATGTTAGATTGAGGTATTAATGCTAATTTCATATTATATTTCATATATTTGCAACATAGGAGATTGATATCCGGTACATTTTGAATGATCAGGTGCCTCTTGACCAGAGACAAATTTCTCATTTGGGATAATTGAGTTTTTTAGTATGGTAATTGGAGAAATTGCCTAGAATATAGAAAGAACAAAAATTGCATAAAAATGACTTGAAGGCAGATATGAACACTAGTTTAAGCTTGAAAATGGGAAGGATATGGTGCAAAATCCTTCTGAAGTAGCCAAATGTTGCAAAATGGACGTCAGGACTTTTGGTTGAGTTTTCACCGATAATCTTTTTCCAGTAATTTTTATTCTATTTTCTGCATGGAGACAGAGAGTCAGAATAGGCTACTTGTGTCATCTGCTGTCAAATTGGAGTGCCACTATCCATGTCCAGGCTGGTGGCAGCAAAGCAACCCCATCCATTTCATTGATAACTATTAGGTTGTTTGTGTTATTTTAACTGTAAAACCAGAGCTGAATAAACAACAAAATTTTTTTTTTCATCTTTAACTGTGGTTCCATCAGTCTCATGATCACAGTTAATGATTCAAGAAGTTATATTGGAATGAGGTGGGGTGGGGTCATTAGGAAGGTAGCCATGTGATAAAGAGGTATTGACTGAAAACAATTTGTGACCCAATGTAGTCTCGAGTATAAGAGAAGAGACAAGCTATTTGGAAATACTGTACATTACTGTAGTACCTCATTATGTAATCATAAAGCCTCATATCTAACAATGTTCATACAGGTACAGGTATAATATTGTTTATGAAACTTTTTGGTACATCAGCTGCTTCTGCAACAAATTACTAAACCGGGAAGGAGAAACTCTATAGAAACTACCCTATTGGTATTCATAAATGGATATTATTTTCTAAAACTGTAAGTGTACATTTTTAGTATCCATGAATCACCTGAGTCCCCGAGTAGCCGAGTCAGGTGTGTCCGCAAAGTCCATATTTTGTTTCCTGTGACCGCAGTAACACTTGAAGGTGTGGACAGACTTCCTGGGAACTTGAAAAGGACATTGTCTTCTTTGGAGCTCGGACTAGTTGGTAATGTGCGTGATCAGATTATATTGTACAAAATAAAATAATTTCTATTTAGTCTATTTATCTCATGCAACAAATGTATATTAGCTCTATTCTTTCCATAGCATGAGGTTCTCATATTGTTAGTTATAAGCAAGTGCATATATGGCAACTGCTAGCACAGTCACGGACAGCTGGAGCGCTACGGCCACGATCATGAATATATAATGTAACAGCATCCCTCATGATGATCTGCAGCTGTAACTGTGTCGCTTCTCTTATGCCTTGACACACCAGTAGCACCTTGACACACCACTAATGCCTTGACACACCACTAGCACCTTGACACACCACTAGTGCCTTGACACACCACTAATGCCTTGACACACCACTAGCACCTTGACACACCACTAGCACCTTGACACACCACTAGCACCTTGACACACCACTAGCACCTTGACACACCACTAGCACCTTGACACACCACTAGCACCTTGACACATCACAATTGTGCATTTTTACCCAGCTGAGAAGAGATGCCCTGCCCCCTCTGAATAGTTACTGCTGATTGGGTGTTACAAATCTGTCCAATTTCGTCCTGAATTAATGATGTATTTCTAAATGAGTTTATTCATATTCGTTGGGATGACCATTTCTGACAAGAGAGATATTTAGCTAAATTATGTGAAGATATATACATTCATTATTTCAAACATGAGCATGTAGGAAGTTTATCAGAAATCTTATAGTGTACATGAATTAACTGTTAAACTTTGGTAGCAAATTCACACTTTCTGAGGATGCATTTAATATATAATTTTTTTACCCTCAATAAGGCATACTAAGACAAATTATGTACAGTATCAGTAATACTGTACTACATTATACAAAAACTAACATTTTTAAAAGATCAGAATCACATTGAAATATTACACGGCCGTCAGCAGAGGCGGGAAATATGACTGTGAATAACTTCATATTTCCCACCTCTGCTGATGGCTCGAGTGGCCAAGTTCCTCAGTCTGTCACACTCATCCACCAACTTCAGGGCCTGTGTGAGTGGCATACTGCAGTGTTTGGTCGTGCACTGTTATTCAAATCTGCATGAGAGGCATTCAGGCATATTTTGTGTTTAGTTCTATATATAAGAGTAGTCTTCGCTACCAGGTGCAATACAGTTTTTTTTTTTTTTTTATATATACAGGGAATACCCCCCCCCCCCGGGCAAAGGTCATCGACCCACAGTGGGGCCTAAGGGGCCAAAAAATAAGAGTAAAAAGAATAAGATTATATTAATCTACACCATTTCATACATAGTGTGCTTGGACCTGCCTGTCCCTGAAAGGTTATATCTTCTCATAGTCCAGGACATGATATACTGTAAGTAAAAATGCACAATGATATCATCTGCAGTGTGTATATAAAATATTTGTACTGCTAACGTGGATGCCATACATAAAGCCGTATAGTTGTCTTAAAAAAATTTCTTAGTACATAATCTGTTAAATATTCTGAACATACAGTAATTGCAATTATGTCGTCTTACAGGAAATTTATGCCAAGATTAAGAATAAGGCAGAGAATACGGAGTCTACACAAGTGGCCAAAAGCGACTGGGAGACTTACTTGGTAGTTTTTAAGAAGGTGAGTGACCTGCCAAGTACCTGGTACTGCCCACATAATTTATCGTTAATGGTGATGCCCTAGTTTAAATGGTCCCAGTCCGAATGATTACATTAGGTTGGGACACGAACCCATTTGACCATTTACTGCTACAGTACACTCAAGTTGTGCCAGTGATACACTTATGTGATGCTACTGACATACTGAAATGGTGTTTTCATGCATTAGATCATGTTGTTGAAACATCTACACTCATTTGTTGCCTTTGTATCATGTGTTACAGTGTTGATTATATTTTTTTATGGAAAATAGCTCACCCGGGCACAGGTTATCAACCCACAATGAGGCCGGAGGGGTGGGGGGGGGGATTAGAGGAGAAAAGAGTATGTTGATCTACACCACTGATACTCTGGAAACCAGCTTTTTGTAAGAGGATGAAAACATAGAAGACGGCAAAGTATTCCATAGGAAAGAAGGAACTACTATAAGGGGTTATTGTAAAATGATTGACATTCACACAGAAATGGTGGGCACCACAGGCAAGATGAGCAAGCTCACTGCCATACCGGTGGTACACAGAATGCCAAATCCACCGAACTTTGCCCGTTAAAGTACCTGTAAGAGAGAGTGAAGCAACATGGCAGTGAAGAGAAAGGGAAGAGAGATTATTGACTAAAGAAGAAGAGTTAAGAAGATGAAATGCCTTTGATTTCACCCTATCTAACAGTTGGACAGAAGAAGAACTACCCCAGATATGAGAGCAGTACTCTAAGTTAAGACAAATGAATCTCTTATAAACTTGAAGGAGTGAAGTAGCTTTGGCATCTGGACAACTTCCCCAGCTTTTGAGAGGCAATTTTAAGTATGTTGTAGATGTGTGACTTCCATGACATACAATATTAGACGAAATGGTAAGGTCTAGCATATCTATTTTAGAATTTGGCAAAATGGTTGCATCCTGAAATATGGCCATTTTGTGACTTGTATATACAGTACTGTACATGTATTTCATGAATGACACATGTATATTTCATCAGTGCCTTACATATTTGTGGTGCAACTAGTGCATTGTATATTTATTTCATAAGGATAACTTATACCTTCCTTGGTGTTGTCTTCACCAGGTGTGGTTGATGGGTACCATGTATTAACTCTGTTCATGACATACCAAAGTGTTGTCTCCGGTAGGTGTGGTTGATGGGCACCACGTATGCAGGGACGTTGTTTGTGACACTGATGATATATCCTGCAGTGATGGTGTACGTCACTTCCTACATGCCCGAGTCTCAGTGGACCAAGGTGTACTTTCAGCCAACTATCACTTTCCTCGTCTTTAACCTGGGCGACTTGCTGGGGAGGGAGACGCCACGCTGGATCCCATGGGTCAGTAATTCTCCTTTACATTCTTGTTTACTATTTTTTAATCTCCACCTGAGAGACATAATGTTTTCAGTTCATATGTGTCTCCATGTGTATTAGTGTGTTTTGTGTCCAAAAATAAAAATAAAGCATTCAAAATTTAAAGTTAATGAACACTAAGCAGATAAATTGGATGTTTATCTAAAACTATTTCAGTTTGGAGTAAGCTCAAAGATTATGGTTTAAAAGAGAGTTGACAACCGTCAATTAAATCACGTAGGTAGTTGGATCCTGGCCAAGGCAAAGAACCTAAAAGCCATGGTCACAGGTCATAGTCGAATACCTGTTACAGAGTGTCTTTAAAACAGGACTTCTTTGGTTCATATTTGGCAGCAAGTTTTTTTTCTTTTTTTACGGGGATTAGCCCACCCAGGCACAGGTCACCGACTCACATCGGGGCCTGGGGGGCGAAAATGTAATAATAATAATAATAATAATAATAATAATAATAATAATAATAATAATAATAATAATAATAATAATAATAATAATAATAATAATAATAATAATAATTCAGATAAGTAAAATTTATAATAACAAATACAAAAATAAAAACAATAAAATAATAATGATAATAATAAGAATAAGAATAATAAAGAACCAAAAAGAAATACAAAAATGAAAAAAGAACAGAGTGAGAAACAATACAGATATACAGTTTGTATGTTATGTTGTCAATGGTAAGAGAAACAATTGAGACCCTGCAATTGTTTGGAAATGAGGCAGAAAGTCAGATCAGCAACCTGGGACTTGGTCACAATTTTTGTGATGCCAAACAAAAATAGGATGAGGGTGTGTTTGCCAGGAGCTGGGGTGGGGGATATAGTTGACAGGATGGACAATATCTTGTCTGGTAATGGGAACAAACCCATTATCTGCCTCAGTGCAGGAGGCAATGATATTGGCCGGTGTAGGAGCGAGGAGCTTCTTGATAAGTTCAAGGCAGCTATAGATCGTATTAGGTCTAAGGGAGGGATCCCTATCATATGCGGTGTCCTGCCTAAAAGGAGAGTTGGCAGTGAATGGTTGTCAAGGGCGGTTGGTGTCAACGACCGTCTTGACAGATATTGCAAGTCAATATCAGTCCCATTCATTGACAACTGGGACAACAACTACGGTAGAAGGGACCTTTATGCTAGGGATGAGGTGCACCTGTCTCGGGATGGGGTGGCAACCCTGGCTGGGTCTCTAGAGGGGGCAGTTCAAAGGATATCGAAGTCTTTAAGCTGCTAGGGGAACATATGGGCACGGGGGTGGGGGAAACTGCAGTGGGAGCGGGTAAACAAAGTAAAAGATTACAGGGAAATAGTGTTAGGAATGATGACAAAACTAAATTAAACAGGGAGTTTAAAACTAAACGCGGTAAAGGGAGGACTCAGAACATGACTAACTTAAATGTCTACTACGCGAACAGTTGAAGTATGAGAAACAAAATGGATGATATTAGGGCCTTGGTATGTACCGAAAAAATCGATATAATAGCATTCACTGAAACATGGATCAACCTAGACTCACGTGAGTTGCCGGTCGAATACCAAATTGCTGGTTACAAATTGTTCCATACCGATAGGCAGACCAGGAAAGGAGGCGGAGTAGCAATCTATGTTAGGGATAATCTGAAGTGTGAAATAAATAAGGAAATAAAAACTGAGCGGAATACAGAAACAATTTGGATAGAATTAATCGACGGTAGGGAAAAATTAATCACAGGAGTAATATATAGACCTCCCATACACATCCATGTCTCTGTTCAAAATACCTAGGTGACTGGTTTCTCAAGGTGAGGAGAGTAGAACTATTAATGATATCGAAGTGACTGGACAGGAATCAGACTCGGCTACAGTATCTTACCTCAGTCATTTATTCAAGGGCGGCTGTTCTACTAATCTGACATTTTGGCCTCATGATAGCCTGGGCCTGAAGGGTGGTCGCTGCACATACTTGGAGCGGCGCGTCTCATCTTTGTGCCGCTGCTGATGCTCTGCCACGGTGACAATAAAACCTTCCCCACTGTTTTCAACCACGATTCTTACTACATCATCCTCATCACCCTTTTTGCTTTTACCAACGGCCACGTCGGGACACTTACCCTTATTTACTATCCTGGGTGAGTATTTTTTAATATTTAGTTTCCAATTTTTTAAGGCATATATTCTTTTATTTGCCTGTCTTATATTTGCATGTTTGTATGTATATGTGTGTGTTTATTTATTTATTTATTAACAGTCTGTTATCATTGCTGGGTTTAGACTTGGCAGGGGTTGAGACCATTGACTGTGACAGCCCCCCCCCCCCCAAAAAAAAAGTCTATCTGGCAGGCTGGTACTGTACTTAGTCCATGACTCAGGTTAGGGTTGGGTTTTATATATTTTTTTTAATTATGACACCACTTACACTTTGTAATTATTTTATTTTATTTCCACAAAAGTATCAAAGCAACAATTCACAAATAAGGTTCATAAACATTATTGTTCATACATTTTACACACTTACAATTGTTTGTCTTTCTAACTGGCTATGCTAAATTTTCTGATAATACTTTCAGTGTCCAAGGAGTTCAACAGCTCATGTTCAATCAACAATAGGCTCAACCTGTTCATTCTGTCTTGGCAGATAGAGTTTCTCAGGTCGTTTTTGATTCGTTTCAGTTTTGAGATTGAGCTGTCACCTGCACAATTTGTGCACAGCATGCAAAGATACATTTTGAATAGAATGTTCATGTTCATGAAGGTATCTACCATAGGTTGAATGAAAGTGAACCTGAACAGCTTGGTTATGATCCTTGTCAGATTCATCAAGGCAAATATATTTATCTGGTAGGAGTCCAGACAGCTGAACCAGCTCATCACTGAGTGACTCTTCAGTATTTTCAGGATAAGCTTCCACCAAATGGGTTACTGATTTGCTTTTATCAGCAGTTGATAGATTAGCTAAATCTGATAAAAAAATAAACTTGTTGTACAGCTCTTCAAAAGCCTGTGACCTCCTTTGAAGAGCACTGACAAAGTTGTCCACAACGAAGAAGAACTGTTGCCTGAATTTCTCCCTCAGTGATCTGGGATTACTTTCTGATGTTCCATCTGCAAATCTCTGTTGCCTCACCTTTCAAGTAAATTCTGTATTCTCTCCTTCACTACACATTGTCTTTCCTCTTGCTTCATACTCTTCAAACTTAAATCTCTCCTTTTGAACAAAATGCTTGAGGTATTTGTAAAGCTTCACAGTGGTACTTAGAGTTATACCCTCTTTCTGCAAATTGATGTCCGTTGCTTGAAACTTATCCATCTTTTTCACAAGACTGCCAGCTGTGGCCTTTGTGTCAGGTTTCTGAGATCTGACTTCTTCTATTTTTGACAGACATGATTTGATAGCATTGTAGCCTTTCAGGACTGCATTGACTGCATCATGTCTGGCTGACCAGTGTGTATCTGAGGGTTGCTTTACTACACTCAGACCCAGTGGGGCCACTTTATCTGTCAACTTTATCCATCTGCTTGTGGATGCAGAAAAGAAAGTGTAGAGCTCATTAATAAAGAAGAAGAAATTAACAACTTCAATACAACAAGGAGCTGCTACCTCTCCAACTAGCATGAGTGAATGTGCAGCACAGGGGACATAAGCAGCATACTTGCATTCTCTTTTGATCAATGCCTGTAAACCTTGGTACAGTATTTCCCACTCATATTGGCTGCATTATCGTATGACTGACCACGACAATTCCCAATGTCAATGCCTTGAGAGGCAAAAAATTCAAGAATAAGTTCAGCCATGCTTTCCCCTGTGTGTGAATGGTGTGAGTGAAGAGGGATATACTTTATGAATTTCTCAACAGGCCGTGGGGTAAATTCGAATGTCGCATTTTAGGGCTATTATCAATTCTGATATATCCGAATTTTGCAGTTAATTATCAATAATATAATCAGTTAGGTAGGCTTTTGCTGTCGGATACTTTTAAAAACCTCGTCAACTTGGAACAGTTTCAACCAATTTCTAAAACCATGTGGTAGAACACACTAACTACTTACCATGTTACCTTTTTTTCTTTCTTAAGGTAAACACCCCACACACTATCATCGACCATGACACTTAAATTGAATGAGACATTCAGTGTTGTTTACATTTCAATATTGTGTATTTGTGTAATTGGCATTTTTCCTAATGATACACATATCAAAATACAAGGTTGAGCTTGGAGGGGTTACAAGGGTCACCATAGCTTTTGTTCACAAAATTATGGTGAAATATAAAATTTTTATAATACATTACATTTTTTTAAAGGGACCTTTGTATCTTTGGCCCCAATGGCCCCTTTGTAAATCCGGCACTGTCTGATACCAAACACCTTCAGCTGTTTTTCAAAATTTTTAGATGAGATTTCTGAAAGTCATCTCAGGAAGCAAACTGCTACTGGTTAAGGTTGGACAAAAGCTGAGGTTGCTGAAAAGGTGGAATACCCTGTACAATATATCTTTTGAATATCAAGAACTATGCAACAGCTTGAGCTAATGAGAATAACATATTATGTAGGGTGAAGTGTTGTAAATAAATGTGGAGATTAAGGATTGACACTGTATTCAGTGTATACCACTTAAGAATATAAGGAAGTATGAGTTAATTATTATTCTTATTGTTTCAAACTTTCAATAATAAATTTTAAACAATTGTCTTACACCTCTCCATTCTTTAGGTTTGTGTATGCTTTAATCCCCTCCACACGAAAGTGGGAAAGGAGTATTGATTACTGTATAGACATATCACTACTGTACAGGTATTGCTAAGACCTGCAGATTGCCCTGTAATGTACCATTAAGCAATTTGTTTAGATAAAAATATAAACTGTATATGATTACCTACTGTATGATCCGCATCTTTGGAGATTGGTACTTGGCAAACCCTTGATCATCCAGGAGAAACCTAAAAAAAATCAAATCTGCAAGGTTATGGGGAACTTAAACAGAGAAAATATGTGAGAACTAACATAAATTGTGTTGGTAAATATGAATGAAAAATTAAAATAAGAATAGTTTGCATCAAATAAATGTTTGATAATTTTGATGACCTTTTAAAAGAGACAATTTTAATTTGAGAAAAAGGCTTCTGAAATACTACTATGAGTAAGAGGCATGGACGTTTTTGACAAACATGAGTAGGAAAACAACGAACTTTTATGTTATGAGAGGTATGCAACTGAGTTGAATGAAATAAAGGCTGAGAGGATTAATAGTACATACTGTAATGGCAACCCAACCCTTCAGACCAAATTTATTATTAATATTATTATTATTCTCCCACAGATTGCTGAAGAGTGAAGAGCTGGAGGTGGGTGGAGCTATAATGGCGGCCATGTTGGGGGTGGGCATGGTGGTGGGGTCTCTGCTGTCCCCGGGTTTTGTAGCTCTGTGGGGGCCCAAGTGACCCACCCAGAGTAAGGGGGGAAAGGGGCAATAGTGCTGGTCAGATGAGCCCCAGTCCTAAAAGACCTCATCCTAACCTAACTTACAATTTGGGCCTATTTTATTGTCTGTGAAGAGTGGAGTCAATTTGACTGGTTACTTAGGGTGAAGAGGCCCTAGTTTAGATATTGTAGAGTGGAAAAATAAGTGATGGTGTCTTCTACCGGAGAGTATTATTTGACTTTCTACATTAGTTTCTCATTCTTTTTGTTTCACAATATTACTGTAACTTTGGAGGAACATGAATTAAAAAAAATCCATCAAAATTTCAAAACATTTTCAGAAATAATTAAAAAAGTTTTAGGGGTGAATGTAAATGTAGGTAAAGTTGAAGGTAGGAGAGCCAAGGGAAGGCAGAGACTGGGTTGGATGAATGAAATTAAAAACTGGGTCCCTAAAGAGATCCATAATCTTGGAGGATTGGTATAAACAGCTCATAAAAGTTTAGATTACTGAGGCGCCACCACCAACACCAGATGACTAAGGCACCACCACCACCAGATGACTAAGGCACCACCACCACCACCAGATGACTAAGGCATCACCACCACCACCAGATGACTGAGGCGCCGCCACCAGGACGACCACCACCACCACCAGATGACTAAGGCACCACCACCACCAGATGACTAAGGCACCACCACCACCACCAGATGACTAAGGCATCACCACCACCACCAGATGACTGAGGCGCCGCCACCAGATGACTGAGGCACCACCAGATGACCACCAGCACCACCAGATGACCACCACTACCACCAACACCACCACCACCAGATGACAGGAGGCTACATTCAACACCAGATAACTGAGGCTACATTTACCATCACCAGATGACTGAGGCACTGCCACCACCAGATGACAGGAGGCTACATCACCACCACCACCAAAATGACCACTACCACCAGATGACCACCACCACCATGTGACCACCACCACCAGATGAATGAGGCATCGCCACCACCATCAGATGGCAGGAGGCTACATCACTACCAACAACACTGACCACATACTATAGTAGCTTTCAGCTCTGTTAGACCACATACTACGAGTAGCACCAGCTCTGTTAGACCACATACTACAAGAGTAGCACCAGCTCTGTTGAATACATACTACAGTAGCACCAGCTCTGTTAGACCACATACTACAGTAGCACCAGCTATGTAGACACATACTACAGTAGCACCAGCTCTGTAAGATCACATATTACAGTAGCATCAGCTCTGTAGACCACATACTATAGTAGCACCAGCTCTGTAGACCACATACTATAGTAGCACCAGCTCTGTAGACCACATACTACAGTAGCACCAGCTCTGTAGACCACATACTATAGTAGCACCAGCTCTGCAGACCACATACTATAGTAGCACCAGCTCTGTAGACCACATACTACAGTAGCACCAGCTCTGTAGACCACATACTATAGTAGCACCAGCTCTGTAGACCACATACTACAGTAGCACCAGCTCTGTAGACCACATACTACAGTAGCACCAGCTCTGTAGACCACATACTATAGTAGCACCAGCTCTGTAGATCACATACTATGACAGCAGCTCTGTAGACCACACACTACAGTAGCTCCAGCTCTGTAGACCACATACTACAGTAGCTCCAGCTCTGTAGACCACACACTACAGTAGCTCCAGCTCTGTAGACCACACACTACAGTAGCTCCAGCTCTATACACCACATACTACAGTAGCACCAGCTCTGTAGACCACACACTACAGTAGCACCAGCTCTGTAGACCACATACTACAGTAGCTCCAGCTCTGTAGACCACACACTACAGTAGCTCCAGCTCTGTAGACCACACACTACAGTAGCTCCAGCTCTATACACCACATACTACAGTAGCTCCAGCTCTGTAGACCACACACTACAGTAGCTCCAGCTCTGTAGACCACACACTACAGTAGCTCCAGCTCTGTAGACCACACACTACAGTAGCTCCAGCTCTGTAGACCACATACTACAGTAGCACCAGCTCTGCAGACCACATACTACAGTAGCACCAGCTCTGTAGACCACATACTACAGTAGCACCAGCTCTGTAGACCACACACTACAGTAGCTCCAGCTCTGTAGACCACACACTACAGTAGCTCCAGCTCTGTAGACCACATACTACAGTAGCACCAGCTCTGTAGACCACACACTACAGTAGCTCAGCTCTGTGGAACCACACACTACAGTAGCTCCAGCTCTGTAGACCCACACCTGTTGTTTCCGGCTCTGTAGACCACACACACCTACAGTAGCTCCAGCTCTGCTGGTGCAGCCAGCTCTGTAGACCACATACTATAGTAGCACCAGCTCTGTAGACTGCATACGACAGTAGCTCCAGCTCTGTAGATCACACAATACAATAGCTCCAGCTCTGTAGACCACACACTACAGTAACTCTGTTATTTGTTAAAAAATAAGTTTAGATATTTTATGTTCATTATTTTGTCACTCGGTTGAGTCATTTATTTGATCAGATTAAATTTGTATTTGTTTATTTTGTACATAACTGATATATTTGTTTTATTGTTTGTTTGTTAATAAATTCTGTAATTAAAACTACTGCATGTATTTCAATATACCCCATAGTATTGAGGTGATGATTTTGGTGGGATCTATTCCTTGGACCTACAGAAATTTTATTATAGAAAACGGAATTTTTTACATAAAAATGGGAAATATCTACTTTCTGGGAAATATCGGGGAGGCTTTGGGGAATATTACCTAATTTTTGCAGTGATTATCATAGAAAACAGGAAATTTGTATCATAGAAAATGGGAACATCCGGGAAAGTTGGTTATCTACTTTCCCGAAAAGTAGATTTTTCATTCTTTTCGGGAAAAGTAGATTATCGACTTTTCGGGGAGTAAATTATCGACTTATATTTTGCAAAGTAGATTATCATGAAAACGGGAAGCATAGAAAGGAAATATCTTTCCGGGAAAGTTGGTTATCTACTTTCCCGAAAAGTGATATTTTTCACTTTTCGGAAAGTAGATTATCGACTTTCTGGGGAGTAGATTATTTTTGGAAATATCATTTTGCAGATCATAGAACACGGGAACATGAAGCTTCGGGAAAGTTGGTTATCTACTTTCCGAAAAGTAGATTTTTCTTTGGGGAGTGATTATCACTTTTCGGGAATTATCGATTTTGGGAATATGACCTTTTTGCAAAATTACAGAGACCGGAAATTATCAGAAAATGGGAAATATCTACTTTCCGGGAAAGTTGGTTATCTACTTTCCGAAAGTAGATTATTTTTCTTCTCGGGAAAGTAGATTTTCCTTCGGGGATTACGACTTTTGGGAATATCTTAATTTTGCAGTAGATTATCAAGAAAACGGGAAATACAAAAATGGGAAATATCTACGGGAAAGTTGGTTATCTACTTCCCGAAAAGTAGATTTTTTCTACTTTCGAATATCGACTTTTCGGGGAGTAAATTATCGACTTTTGGGGAATATTACCTAATTTTGCAAAGTAGATATCATAGAAACGGGAAATTTGTATCATAGTATGAAAAGTTAAGATTCATACCTCCGAAAAGTAGATTTCTACTTTCGGTTCGACTTTAGAGTCATTTTCGGATGTTAGTTTCGAGGGGAATTTGCACTTTGGGTATTTCGATATTCACTTCCCGAAAAAGTGATTTATTTTTCTGATTTTCGAAAAGTGGATTTCTGGGATATGGAAATATTTGTTGTGTTTGAAAGTTGTTTTTATCGCGATTTTTCTACGTTTCGAAAGTATCGACTTTTCGTGGGTAATGTCGATTTTTTGAATATTACCTAATTTTGCAAAGTAGATTATCATAGAAAACGGAATTTGTATCATAGAAAATGAAATATCTACTTTCCGAAAGTTGGTTATCTACTTTGTGAGTATATTTCCCATTTTCTATGATACAAATTTCCGTTTCTATGATAATCTACTTCTTCTGGAAAGTAGATATTTCCCATTTTCTATGATACAAATTTCCCGTTTTCTATGATAATCTACTTCGCAAAATTAGGTAATATTTCCCCAAAAGTCGATAATTTACTTCCCAGAAAAGTCGATAATCTACTTTCCCGAAAAGTAGAAAAATAATCTACTTTTCGGGAAAGTAGATAACCAACTTTCCCGGAAAGTAGATATTTCCCATTTTCTATGATACAAATTTCCCGTTTCTATGATAATCTACTTCGCAAAATTAGATAATATTTCCCCAAAAGTCGATAATTTACTTCCCAGAAAAGTCGATAATCTACTTTCCCGAAAAGTAGAAAAATAATCTACTTTTCGGGAAAGTAGATAACCAACTTTCCCGGAAAGTAGATATTTCCCATTTTCTATGATACAAATTTCCCGTTTTCTATGATAATCTACTTCGCAAAATTAGGTAATATTTCCTCAAAAGTCGATAATTTACTTCCCAGAAAAGTCGATAATCTACTTTCCCGAAAAGTAGAAAAAAATCTACTTTTCGGGAAAGTAGATAACCAACTTTCCCGGAAAGTAGATATTTCCCATTTTCTATGATACAAATTTCCCGTTTTCTATGATAATCTACTTCGCAAAATTAGGTAATATTTCCCCAAAATTCGATAATTTACTTCCCAGAAAAGTCGATAATCTACTTTCCCGAAAAGTAGAAAAATAATCTACTTTTCGGGAAAGTAGATAACCAACTTTCCCGGAAAGTAGATATTTCCCATTTTCTATGATACAAATTTCCCGTTTTCTATGATAACCTACTTCGCAAAATTAGGTAATATTTCCCCAAAATTCGATAATTTACTTCCAAGAAAAGTCGATAATCTACTTTCCCGAAAAGTAGAAAAATAATCTACTTTTCGTGAAAGTAGATGACCAACTTTCCCGGAAAGTAGATATTTCCCATTTTCTATGATACAAATTTCCCGTTTTCTATGATAATCTACTTTGCAAAATTAGGTAATATTTCACAAAAAGTCGATAATTTACTTCCCCAAAAAGTCGATAATCTACTTTCCTAAAAAGTAGAAAAATCTACTTTTCGGGAAAGTAGATAACCAACTTTCCCGGAAAGTAGATATTTCCCATTTTCTATGATACAAATTTCCCGTTTTCTATGATAATCTACTTAGAAAAATTAGGTAATATTTCTCAAAAAGTCGATAATCTACTTCCCCAAAAAGTCGATAATCTACTTTCCTGAAAAGTAGAAAAATCTACTTTTCGGGAAAGTAGATAACCAACTTTCCCGGAAAGTAGATATTTCCCATTTTCTATGATACAAATTTCCTGTTTTCTATGATAATCTACTTCGCAAAATTAGGTAATATTTGCCCAAAATTCGATAATTTACTTCCCAGAAAAGTTGATAATCTACTTTCCCGAAAAGTAGAAAAAAAATCTACTTTTCGGGAAAGTAGATAACCAACTTTCCCGGAAAGTAGATATTTCCCATTTTCTATGATACAAATTTCCCGTTTTCTATGATAATCTACTTCGCAAAATTAGGTAATATTTTCCCAAAATTCGATAATTTACTTCCCAGAAAAGTCTATAATC